TAAACAATAACAAACGTTATTTTTAAAACTCTGAGAAAAATCCAGACAAGCTTTACAAAGTTAACCTGGAGACTTCGAGCTGTGTATTCCATTTTAGCACTCATTTATCTGACTGTAACTTTGCTTCCCTCTCCTCAGGGTGACACATCTGGAGACTACAGGAAGGTCCTGCTTATTCTCTGTGGAGGAGATGATTAAACTGAAATCCTGGAAAGATAAAGAGGATTCCCAAAATCTTGATATTTTTTAACTTCATTTTTCTACACTGCTATTAGCATTATCTCAGAACACTTATTCCAAATTAAAACGCCTACGTTTGCCTCCTAGGATATAGACTGTTATTATTCATCTATAATTATAACTCATGATGCTTGAAAGCTGTACTTGTATTTCAAAGCTTATAAAACTTAAAAGGAGATTTAAAATTAGAAATAATAGTGTGCTCCATGTTTTTAACATATCTCTTCCTCATTTGTATTTCACAGAAATTGGGTTATATTAAATTATTTCATGTTTCTTTTTGGTGAAAATCTATAAAAGTGGAAGACTGGAAGGCTATTCTAAAATCACTTTTCTTTCCTAATTCTATTTTTAAAGTGGCTAGTAATTTATAATTTGAAATTGTGGGCTTCTAGTTAGTAAGAATATCTGTCCAATTTCCTATTTCACAGTCATAGTTTGAAAGCATCCACAAATGTTCTTTGTTTAGGTTTTGTTGATAGCATTAGTTGATCTTTATTATGTTTGTTGTGAAATACTTCCTCCATCACATCTTATATCAAGATCACTTACTCTCTCCAATTTGAAGTATACCAAAATCACCAAGTTGTCTGAACAAATTAAATTCTAACTATGGTTATACAGATCACATATGTCTGGTTACCAAACATAAATGTTGGACATTCCACAATATTTTTGTTAATGTCTTAAGCCAGTTTGTAATGGTGAATGTAATGCTCTGAATTTTACTTAAAATTTTTGTGCTAAAAATAATTTTTAAGTCATTTTGGATTTTGTCGATTTGTACTCATTTACATTTGCACTGTGCCTTTCAACTCTAGAATTATTTTGATTAAAAAGTTCAGTTTGTATACATCATGGAAAAATAATTTGAATAAAACATGGTATCTTTAAGATGAAGTATACTCTTTATCCAACTTTACCACTTGTGAATTTTTTCATCCTGAAACCTGAAAGATATTTTCAAAGGACTTGTGTTACTCAGTTTCTATTAAGAACTACAACACTGAGGGGAAAAAATAACATAATTAGTCTTATGTACTGGTACACTAACTGCTGTAAAACTAATGTTCATATATACCTCTAGTATTCAATAAGTCTGATGTAATACTATAAGAGGTTACTTCATTTTCCTCTCCACTCTTCATTTATATTTACTTATTGGGCCCAATTCTTCTGTCTTTAGATAAAAATTCCAATAGAGGATAGAGTTATAACTTTTTTGGTGATTCTTAGATTATAAAAATTCCTACTGTGCAGTCCCTTAAGGTCACAAAACAATCATTTCAGTAATTAATATGCCCAGTCAAAATTCCAAACTTGATTTTAATTGAAGCTTCTTCTCTCATTCAGCTCTGGCCTATTGATGGCTTTGGGGGGAGGGTCATGGTAGCCTCTCTTTGGCTACCTAAGCTTCCTTCTGTACTCTATCCCTTAGCCCCAACCTAGCCAGGGTTGTAGTAGTGTTGCCAGTGAAAATCGTGTTCTTTCACAGGATCTCAAGTGAAGCTTTTCATGGACCCCTACATGGGAGATTGTGGTGTGCCAAGATTTATTTGGGTAGAAATAAATGGCTGCCCCTCCAGTGTCCCATCTCCATCCATCTGCTATGAAACGTCCTATCTTGTCTTCATTAAGGGCAATACAAAAGCCACTGTCCAGAGTTCCTGTGTAAAATTTAGTCTTTTGGAGCCCTCTGAATCTGTTGTGGGCCCCAGTTGGCTACTAGATGAGAGAGAGAGAGAGAGAGAGAGAGAGAGAGAGAGGGGGGGGGGGGGAGGGAGAGATAGAGAGAGAGAATGAATCTATCTTCTTTGTTCCCCTGGGATTGTGGGATTATATAGTATCTCAGGCTTGTATTCAATATAATAAAAGACTAGGACCGCTGAAGCCAGTTTGGCTTAGTGGTAGAGCGTCAGTCTGCAGACTGAAAGGTCCCAGGTTCGATTTCGGTCAGGGGCATGTACGTTGGTTGCCGGCACATCCCTGGTGGGGGGTGTGCAGGAGGCAGCTGGTCGATGTGTCTCTCTCATCAACATTTCTAGCTCTCTATCTCTCTCCCTCCTCTCTGTAAAAAATCAACAAAAAATAAAATAAAATAAGATAAAAGACTAGGACCACTTTTTGCAAAATAACTAGTCTATTTACCAAACTTTCCAAACTGCACTGGGCCCACCTTCCAACCAATCTAGTCCTTTATTTCCCCAGGCTATGGTCAAGCACCTCCCCCTGTGCCATTCTGACTTCCCTTGTGCATGTGCTTAAGTTCCTCTTCATTGTTCTATCCTTTCTCCCGGTGTTTTATGGGGACAGACAGGTGGTTTCCTGGGAAGTGTGTGAAGCTGTGACTTCAGGCAAAGCGAGCAGGCTCATGCTCCCCAGTTGATTATACTTAACATCTGATTCCCTTTGCCTCCTGCCTTCATTAATAACTAGCTAACTACCTCCACTAACATTGCCTGACTGTGCTCTGGTGTTGATGGCCATGCTGTGCGCTCCTGGCAGATGTTTAAAGCTGATTCTTGGGGGCATTCTCTTGGGTTCTTTTATCAACCCCATCATCAGGGGATTCCTCACCTTCGGTTCCCTTGGCAAGGCAGATGAAATTCTTGTTCTTCAGCCTTTAAGAATCCGATGGTAACTTCAGGTTCTCTGTGCTGCATTGCTTGTCCTTCCATCCAGGCTTCTTGCACAGGCTCTAAGGTGATCCCCATGCTGGATGTCTGTGATGGCCCACACCTGTTTCATGGGAAACACTTGCATATCCTTTGTGTTGACAAATTCTGGGCATGCAGGCTGAATCCCTTTTAGTTATTTTTTGTTTTTTTAAAAAAATATATATTTTTAATTTTTTACAGAGAGGGATAGAGAGTTAGAAACATCAATGAGAGAGAATTGTCGATTACCTGCCTCTTGCGTACCCTCCACTGGGGATGTGCCCGCAACCAAGGTACATGCCCTTGACCGGAATCGAACCTGGGACCTTTGAATTTGCAGGCCGACACTCTATCCACTGAGCCAAATCGGTTTTGGCTGATCCCCTTTTAGACATCATTCTCCTTTCCTAGCCCCTACCCCCAAACTGCCCCAGCCAACCTTTCTCAATTCAGATTTCTCAGGGTAAGACACCTGGGGTTCCCAAACTATTGGATACATATACTACTGCTGATGGGAGTATAAATTGGTGAGATCATTTCAGAAGCAATTTAACAGTTAAAGTTGAAAGTTCTAGTAAATTCACTTCTGGGGATTCTACGTCCTGAATCTCTTGCACATGGTGTTCATTACTGCTCTATTAAGAGCATTAAGGTAGAAAACCTAACTCCTTCAGTAAGGGGAAAAAAGTAAATTATGGGTTAGTCACACAATGAGCAGTGAACATTAACTAGAGATTTGTCAGTTGGATAAGTCTCAAAAGTATAATTTTGAGAGAGGAGAAAGGTGTAGAATGATAGGTATAGCATAATTCCATTTAATTACATGTCTAAATGTGCAAAAGAAAGTATATTGGTAATGTGTGTGTATATACTGTGTGTATATGTGAACATGCATGGAATAATATATACTATTATGAAGATAGTGGTCACTATAAGTGAAGGAGACAGACTGAGATGGAGAGGGAGTGTCTACCTTTCTGCATTCTATATAAAAGAACGAAGCAAAGCAAGTATAATACATTTTTTATTAAAATTTGTTATTGTTATGGTGGGTCCCCAACTTATTACTATTTATCTTATTACTCTGAGCAATTCATTATAACTATTTTATTTAAAAAGTAGCCAGAGGGAATCAGGGAGTGAGAGTTATCCAGAGTCCCAGAGCAAGGGCTGCATTCTCTAGGCTAGGGGTGTCGAACTCAATCAGAGAAGGGGCCAAAATCTAAAATCCAGCCTAAATCGCGGGCCGAATGGTTTACTGAACAGTCATAAACTGTCATTGTGATGGAAACGCAGTGGAGTGCAGTGATGACAGCGCGGTGTGGGCCACATTGCAAGGCCTTGCGGGACGAATTTGGCCCGCGGGCCTTGTGTTTGACACATGTGCTCTAGGCAGACACCTGTAGCTTTTACTGGAACACCTGTCAATTCTGCTCCGGCCTCCAGAAGGCCTTTTAAGCCCTGACATAGACCCCACGGCCCCAGGGAGGAAAGGAAAGGAAAGGAATGCAGGGAACGTTGACCACAATCCGTAGAGGAAGCGGAAACCCAAGGGCCTAACATTCCAAGACGCACATTCTAGATCCCCCTCCCTCGGAACGCCAGGCCCCACGTGGCGCCTCCTCCTCCTCCTCCGAAGAGCTCCCACAGCAGCACTCTTTGGGGGGGGGGCCCTCGAGGAGCCCCAAGCCCCCTGGACCTCTAGAGCTCAGAGAACTTTTGCAGAAAGAATGAGCTGCAATCCCCGTCCCCGTTAACCCCACAGGGTGTGGGTGAAATAACGCTGAGAGCTCAGCCGGCCCCCCAATTCAGGCTGGTAGCAGATACGGGCCGATCACGGCCCCAAAACCCCAAGCCCGTGGCAGCGAAGCGCCCCCCTCAACGTCGTCTGATGCCACGGAGAAGGCCCCGCCCACCCCGCTGGTCCCGCCCCTTCCGGAGGCTCCACCCATCCTCCTGGCCCCGCCTCCTCACCCGCCTGGCCCCGCCCCTTCCGGAGGCTCGCCGCGAGCATGCGCCGCCGGGGCCGCACTTATTTGCGAAAGCGGCCGGGATCCGCAGCCCGCACACCCGCGCGCAGAGACACAGCCGCGGGCGGGGCTGTGGATGGAGGCGGCGGCGTTGCCTGCAACGGTCGGGGCTGCGCGTGAGGAAGGGGTCGCGTAGACAGACAGCTGGGCCCGGGGGACACCGGCGGCGGCGGCCGGGCCATGGGGGGAGGCCGGGCCCGCTGGGCTCCCTGACGTGCGCCCCCCTGACCTCCCGGGGCACAGCCGTGGCCCATGGGCGCGCTGAGCAGCCGGGTGCTGCGCCCCCCGGGGCGAACCCGAGCCCAGCCGGAGCCGGGTTCGGGGGCGGGGGCCCCGGCCCGGAGGCCGGAGGCGGGCGGCGATGCGCCGGGCCACGGCTTCTGTGACTGCCCCGGCAGCCGCAAGCGTAAGCGGAGCAGCGGGGCCCTCTGCTACTGTCACCCCGACTCCGAGACCGAGGAGGAGGAGGACGAGGAGGAGGAGGAAGGGGACGAGCACCAGCGGCTCCTCAACACCCCGAGGAGGTAGGTGGAGGGACGCGCCCCGCACCTGTTGGCTGGGCGGCGCTTGCGGGGCGCAACGTGTCCTTGACCAGGCGCAGGTGGGCGCCGGCCCGAGGCAGGGCAGGTGGGGAGCGCCGTGGGGAGACGCTTGGGGTTCACAACCGCAAACCACAGACGCCGCCCGCAGGATGGGATGGCCCCAAAGCAAAGAGGAGGCTCAGAAACGCCAAGCCGAAGCTCGCGCCTCGTTAAACCTCAGACGCGTCCCGCCGGCTGCCCTGCACCTTTGTCTCCTCGGAGTGCGTGGGCGGCAGTGAAATGGGTTGTTTTGCATCCGGTGGCCTTAAACAGTCCGGGCTGGTTCAGTGTGGGCTCTGTCTGAGACGGCGCTCCCATGGTCGTGCGCTCGGGGTAGCGGAAGTGACTGCAGTTCTGAACCGTGACGGTGGAGCTCACCCCAGGTGCACGGATGTGCCTTACCAGGCACAGGCTTTCAAAGCCTCCGAACTTGACCGCTCAGCTCACCCTGACCCCCCCCCTCCCCCTGCAAGAGTTGCAAACCAGGATGTTTACATGTGAGCTGCAGTGTTGTTTCTAAGTAGAAAATGTTTGCACACACACAGTCTGGTTGCTCTGTTTGTTTTTAAAGGTCATCAGCGGGGTCACGTAGATTTAACTTTTTTAGTGACTTTTTCCCCCATAATTCAAACATTTTTTGCTTACACAACCACCAGGTACTGTAAAATAAGAGCCTTACAGAGAACTTCCGTTGACAGTTTGGTTTATAAAATCTTTCATACAGTTTTATGTAAGCATGTTTGTCCCAAAAATGGACCTCCCCCTCCTCCCCACTCTCAAATTGTTACCTTTTGGGAGAGTCAGCTTGATATAGTTTTATCAGCTCAGATTCTCTGTAGTCTGTATATTAATAGTCTTATTTCCTCATTAGTAAAATGCAGATAGTAGTAGTTGCCTTAAAGGATTTATGAAAATGCATGCGATGAACTGTGCTCGGTATGGAAGAACTCGGTAAATCTTGTCTCCTTGATAAATCAATTGACTCTCTTTATCCCTGATAATATAGCCACTACCACTTTATTTTAATAAGTGTTTAAAAGGTATGCATTTTCTTATACTTTCTGTTTTACCTATGTTATATTTTAAGTGGCATCTACAGCACACAGGTGGACCGTGTGTGTGTGTGTGTGTGTGTGTGTGTGTGTGTGTATGTGTGTGTCTGTTTTAATTCAGTAAGATAGTTTCTGCCTTTTAATAAGTATTTAGGTCACTTATACCCCATATCCTCCTTGTTGACAAGAGCCCCCCTTCCCCCTGTTTTTTTTTTTTTAATGGAACTTTTGGAATTTTTTTCTTTGGTATTTTGGGATTTAATTAGAGAATCCCAAATGTGGGCCTTATAATGGCCTTGGTACTTAGTGTATTGTTACAATCTAGAGACTACTTTAGTCGGAAGAAATTGTCTTCCATTAATTTTCTTCTCTTTGTTTTCTCTTTTCTTGGACCCCTTTTCATTGGATTTCTTGGATTATATGTCTTTCTCTCCTCTTTTTATCCTTTCTAAGTCTTATTTGATTTGTTTTGAGAAATTCTCTTAACTTTGCCATTCAGCCTTGCTTAGGGGTTTTTAATTTCAGCAACCATGTTTTTAGTGTCTTAAGAGCTCCTTTATTTTCTTGTTCTGAGTAATCCTTTATCAAAGCATTCTGTTATTTTATGAATGTAATATTCTCAGATCTCTAGATGTATTAGACTATTTTTGTTTTGCTTTGCTTTTAAGTTCTTTTTTTTTTTAATTATGTTTCCTCTGGGGTCAGTTTCTCTCTTTTTTAATATTTTCCTCAGGTTGGGTGATTCTTGGTTGCCTGCTATATTTAAGAATGAGAAATTGGTGTGTGTGTGTCTTAATTAAGTCAATAGATCTATCGGGTCTAGTAATAATGTCGTTTTTAAACATTCGTTTAAAATCTTGCTTGGCGTTGACTTGTATTGACATAACCTTCAAACACGTGGTATCTACAGAACGCGTGAAGTGCAATTAACAAGTTTTGCTTGAAAAAGTTGACTTCTCAACAGAAACCATGCAGGCCAGAAGGGAATGGCAAGAAATATTCAAGGTGATGAATAGCAAGAACCTACAGCCAAAAATAATCTACATAAAAAGCTATCACTCAGAATCGAAGGCCAGATAAAGAGCTTCACTAATAAAAAAAAGCTAAAGGAGTTCATCACCGCCAAACCAGAATTATATGAATTGCTGAAGGGGGTTCTTTTAGAAGAGAAAGTAAACAAAGATAAAAATTATGAACAACAAATACGTAACTATCAACAAGTGAATCTAAAAAACAAGGAAATTAAAAAAATCTGATGAACAATATTAACTATTGAATATAATAGAATCAGAGGTATGGAAGGGGAGTGAACTGAAGATTCTTGGGGAAAAGGGGAGAGGGGGGCGTGGGAAGAGACTGAACATAAACTGTGCACCTATGGATGAGGACAATGGGGAGAGGGGAAAGGGCAGAGGGTGGGGTGGGAACCTGGTGGAGGAGAGCAATGATGGGGGGGGGGGGGGAAGGAACATTTGTAATAATATGAACAATAAAAACTTATAAAAAAAATTAAGAAGAAAAAAAAAGAAAAAGTTTGTGTTTGGTTTGGTTTTTGTTGCAAAACTAGGGCTAAGAAGATGGCGGATGAAGAGCATATTCGGCACTGCATGCTTTATGAGTTCCAATTAGGAAGAAAAGCAAGTGAGGCTGCAAAAAACATCTGTAGTGCTCTTGGTCAAGATGCAGTTAGCGCCAGAAAATGCCAGTGTTGGTTTGAGAAATTTCGCGAGGGAAATTTTTCGTTAGATGACAAGGGTGGTCGAGGCCGTGTGTCCAATTTTGATCAAGAAGCTCTTCAAGCTCTTTTGGTGCAAAATCCTCAAATTACCCAACAAGAGCTTGCGACAACTTTAAATTGTTCACAAAAAACAATTTCCAATCAATTGCGTGCACTTGGCAAAGTCCAAAAGTTTGGAAAATGGGTTCCTCATGAATTGACCGACAACAGCTGTAATCAAAGAGTCACAATTTGCAGTTCGCTCCTCTCTCGTCAAAACCGTTTGCCGTTTTTAGAGCAAATTGTTACCGGAGATGAACAATGGGTGCTGTATGTTAATTTGAAAAGGCAGCCTCAATGGTTGGACAAAAATGAGGCTCCACAGCCCACGCCAAAACCTGACTTGCATGCGAAAAAAGTGATGTGTGTTTGGTGGAATTTTAAAGGAATTCTTCATTATGAACTTTTACCATCTAACCAAACCATTACAAGTGCAGTGTATAGTGCCCAATTGGAAAGGTTAGCCCAAGCTTTAAGAGAAAAAGAACCCGCGCTGATTAATCGTAAGGGCGTAATTCTTCACCACCATAACGCACGACCGCATACTGCAAGAATCACTGCTGAAAAACTGCGCCAGTTGGAATGGGAAGTTCTCCCTCAACCTGCATATTCTCCTGATATTGCCCCTTCTGATTATCATTTGTTTCGTTCTTTGCAAAACTTTCTTCTTGGAAAAAAATTTAATAATGAAGAATGCCTCAAAAATGCATTGACCGAATTTTTCGCATCAAAATCACAAGAATTTTACAACAGAGGGAGTAAAATGCTTCCTGAGCGTTGGGCACAAGTAGTAGAAAACAACGGCAACTATATTGTTGATTAAATTTTGTTGTATTTTTAAAATAAATTCGATTTAAAAGTATTAGAAAACGACATTAATTATTACTAGACCTAATATTTGTACTAATCTCCTTTGAGTAGGGACACTGACTACTACATTAGATTCGGTGGGACATGCTTTGTTTCAGAGTAGAGCTTCCCAAACTTTGTTTGAAGCACCCTTAGTATCTCAGCTATTTTCTTCTTGGCACCTTGGGCCCCAAAGAAATATCAGGTAATTAGGTCCAACCAACTTAATGGTAGTAGACTGCATGGTATCTGAAAGATGTCACTGTGTTTCCTTCAAATTTAGAATAGTCCGCATACTTACCTGAGTTTGCTGTGGTGCTCCAGGTGTTTTGACACAGAGTTTGAGAACCATGTTTGGGTGAGTAGGTTGGGAGCTATCAGGCTATAGATTCTTCATGGGCTAGAATGAAGATTGCTTTGTCTGGGGCACTGACACCTGCACTGAAGTCTTACATCTTTTTGATTGATGTTTTATTTCTTTCAAGAAGATCCTTGGAATCTTTATATCTGATTTATCTGTACTCTGTGTTCAAAAAGAGTGGAGAAGGCCATTAGAGGAACTAGTTTCCCCATTTTCTGTCTCAGTTTCTATTTCTGCCTTCTGTTTACCCTGAGACCTCATCTTCCCAACTCTCACATACACAGCTTCTGAAGGGTAACTAGGCTTCAGCCTCCATCCTAGACCCTCATAAATTTTGGACTGTGGCTTTTGAGGCTCTTTTCCAACTTTCAGATCTGTAGAATTCTCTCATTAGTTGAGAGAATGTTTTTGCTATTTGAGTTTATTCCTTTCTGTACTTTTAATCTTTCAATGTAAGTTGGGGAGGATGCTATAAGGCAGTGTTTTTCAACCTTTTTTGGGCAAAGGCACACTTGTTTCATGAAAAAAATCACGAGGCACACCACCATTAGAAAATGTTAAAAAATTTGTGCCTATATTGACTATATATAAAGTAATTCTCTTGAATAGGAATCAAATAAACACAAAGAAAGTATTTTATAATTACTTTATTATGAAATATTAAGTAAACAAAATAGTGAAAAATTATAAAATTCTTGTCTTGTCTGCACCTACGGCACACCAGGCAACATCTCTCGGCACACTAGTGTGCCGCGGAACAGCGGTTGAAAAACGCTGCTATAAGGAACTGGAACCTACATTGTCTCATTTATTTCCCCAGTAACCCAACGAAGTGGGTGCTATTGACACCCTCTGCAGTACATCGGGGGTAACCGAGCTGTGGTAAAGCTGGAACTCATACCCAAGTCTGTCGACCACCAAAGCGTGTGCTATTTCTTCTGCCTGTTGGGAAGAGATGTTAAATACTCTGGTTCAAGACACCATCTGAAATAGGGGTGTCGAACTCAATCAGAGAAGGGGCCAAAATCTAAAATCCAGCCTAAATCGCGGGCCGAATGGTTTACTGAACAGTCATAAACTGTCATTGTGATGGAAACGCAGCGGAGTGCAGTGATGACAGCGTGGTGCGGGCCACATTGCAAGGCCTGGCGGGACGGATTTGGCCCGCGGGCCTTGTGTTTGACACATGTGACCTAGGGCTTTTCAAATGTACGGGACCATCTTGAGCAATAATTGTCAAACTTAAAAAAAAATTCTTTGTTTAAATTGCATCTTATGTAGAAATGCAAGATGTTTACAAATAGAAATGTGATGCCCCTCTGAAGTCAGGTGGGATGCCCTGCCCTCTCTTCTCAGTCTTCCTGGTGGCCACTTTTCCATTGGACATCATTTTGAGAACCTTTGGTCTAAGGACCAATTGTCTGCTTGGGGGATGAGGTGACATTTTAACCAGTTTTTAAAATAGTTTTATACCAAAATAAATTAAATGTAAATTATTTTTTAAATTATTTGGTTGGTTGAAGTTTTTACGCATGTTCTCCATTCTGTAATTGTAAAGCAGTATTATTGTAGTGGTAGTGAGATGCTCCTTAGTACTAATTGCTAAATAAGGTAATAAGTAAAAATAATCCTGACTAATCTTAATTTATTGAACAGGTAATTCACTTAGTTCAAAAATCAAACATTGCAAAAACATGGATAGTGAAAGATCTTACTCTCATGCTCCCCCCATATATCTCCTATTACCCCACTTGGGAATAGAGTACCTCAGAGGTAACCACTACTATTAGATTTTTAATGTACTCTTCTGTACATGAGCAAATTTAATATATAATATACCTCTGTTCTTTTACTCATTGGTTCTATTTAATAAAAATTGAATAAAAGGAGTATCTTGAGTTATTTGCAAAATCAGTAAAACATTCAGTTTTACACATATGTAACAGTTGCATTTCTTTTAACAGGAAAAAATTAAGGAGTACATCCAAATATATTTATCAAACATTATTTTTGAATGGTGAAAATAGTGACGTTAAAATTTGTGCTCTAGGAGAAGAGTGGAGCTTACACAAAATATATTTATGTCAAGTAAGTATTTTATTTTTCTGTTTGAATGACTACATTTAACAAACTCAAACTCTTTTAAGTCATGCTCTTCATATTTGCATTTCATAGTAATCTTTTGCATGGAGAGTGGTTAACTCCTATCATCTAATAAAAACTATTGTTTTATAAGAACTATGGCGAGCATTTTTAGTGAAAGCTTAGTTTGGTCTAGAAAACGGATTTTGAATTTTCATGGCCTAGCAATAAATACCGTTAGTCATTATTTCAGTAGGGTGCTTATTTTGGTGCTTTCTGTTGACAAAAAGGGAAAAGTTATGGGAAAAAATGTTTAACATTAAGACTAAGATTGCTGCATTTGTTTAATATGCATATGATCATTTAATTGGATGAACTCAGCTAGAATGTTGCTTTGTAATTAACATTAAATGTGAATGGAAAGTTCTTGACACTTAATCTTCCTTCTGGAAAATGCAGTTAAAGACAACATCAAAAAAGTATGTAGACTAACTCATTTAGCTAATACACATATCTGATTTCTTGCTGAAAATATTGCTATATGTCACCCATTTTAAAGATTTAAAAATTTCAAAATATTGCTTTAATGGCTCAAATATTTTATTTTCTTATCAAATCTGTCTTTTCTTCAAATCATTGTTCTAGGCACTTGGAATAGAGCAGTGAACAATTCAGTTCTTATCCTGTGGAGCTTATATTTTTCCCTCTCTTTTTCACCATTTGACAATAATTACTGGTAAGACAGTATAGTTTAAGATTTTTTAGAATAAACATCTGAAAAATTTTTCTCTAACATTTTAACCATAGTTTTTATTTAATTTTTGAACAGTTTTATTTTGCCTTAAAGTATATAGCCTAGAGAATAAATATATCAGAACATTGGTCTCAGCTTGAAGATATGGTTCATATCTTTCTTTTTAATCTCTCAAAGCAATTTTGTGATTTTAAGGATGAAAATGCCTCTTTCCATCTCAAGAGAAATTGGATTGATTATAGTACAAGCCACATGTTAAATTATAAGCCCCCTGAGGACAGAAGCAGTGTGTTTTATTTACTGCTATATTCATAGTGCCTTGTATATATTAAATACTCAGAAAAGTTCTTAAATTAGTTAATATTTGATCCATTCCAAAGTAATTCTGATTATGAGAGGTGCTATCTAGTAAATAACTAAATACTCCATCCATTCTGGAATCTTTCCAAGAATTCAGGTTCATTCTGGAATTTTCTGATTAGATAAATTAAACTTTGAATTTCCCCTAATTTCTTGGAAGTCATCCTATTGTTGACTTGGGACTGGTCCTGATCCTTCACAACCACTGAGGTTCAGTACAGTAGGGACTTAACAGTTTGAGGGCTTTATTCTATTCTCTTCCTTGTTACATTTTTATCCACCTTGTGTGTTGTCACATGTTTGAGAGACAAATATATAACATAATTTCTAAGTTTGAATTTAGAATGTCATTGACAAGGAAAACATATACATCTAATATACTCAGAAATTGTTAAAAGCTAAAGTAAATGCAAATATTACTATATAGGAATTCAGTTCAGATAGTAATAGAATTAAGTTTCATTTTCATTAAATTGTACTAAATTGAAAATATTTTTGTATACCTAACAGTGTCTTTATATCAATTTCTTTTCTCCTATAGACACATTTGGCAATTATTTTTCTATTGAAATAATATGTTTGTTTCGATAGAATAGTTGGCTTAAAGTTAGAAATGGGGAAATAATTTGAAAGACACAGGAAGTACTTGGTAATCATTTATTTATTTTTATTTTTTTTTTTAAGTCTGGCTACTTTTCTAGTATGTTCAGTGGTTCTTGGAAAGAATCCAGCATGAATGTTATTGAACTGGAGATTCCTGACCAGAATATTGATGTAGAAGGTAACCACCACCACAGTTATTACTATTATGCAAAGTAATGAAAACATAACTTATACTTTTAATAGAAAATAAATATTTTCTTTTAACTTTGGAAGGTAGGGAAAAGGTTCAATTTAATGCCAGAAGGCAACAACATTATATTGATTTATTCCATAGTTTATCATTTCTGTTCTACTTACCTCTAATATTTTTAGACATGTGGGCCATATCAATATGTTTACTTAGGTTTATAAATAAATCTGCCTAGGATACAGAAGCTATAAGGTGAAGGAAGGAAAAGTATGACCACTTATTTTAATTACATAAAAAGCTGGTGAATAATACTCATTGATTATTCCTTATTATATATAAGACCTTTTCTGGGAACAATAAAGGTACAAATTATATAATCAATGTTGATTTATTTATTTAGTTTAAAAATATTTAATATATTTTGTTTATTGATTTCAGAGAGGAAGGAAGAGGGAGAGAGAGAAAAACATCAATGATGAGCCCTAACTGGTTTGACTCAGTGGATAGAGTAACGGCCTGCGGACTGAAGGGTTCCAGGTTCGATTCCGGTCAAGGGCATGTACCTTGGTTGAAAGCATATCCCCAGTAGGGGGTGTACAGGAGGCAGCTGAATCCATGTTTCTCTCTCATAGATGTTTCTCACTCTCTATCCCTTTCCCTTCCTCTCTTCAAAAAATCAATAATATATATATTTTTTTAAAAAAACACATAAATGATGAAAGAGAATTATTGCTTGGCTGCCTCCTGCATGCCCCCTACTAGGTATTAAGTCCACACCCCAGGCATGTGCCTTGACTGGAAATTGAACCATGACTTCCTGGTTCATAGGTCGCTACTCAACCTGCCAGCCACACTAATCAATGTTGATTTAGAGCTATAAGGATTTTTAGATGAGGAAGCTAAGAACCGGAGCTTATGCTAGGTCTCAAAGCAGTTTAATGAGCTTAGATCAGACTCTAGTTCTCATAATTGCTATTCCAATGCTGTTTCTACTGCCTTGTTTTTCACCCCTTTTTATTGAATTTATTGGAATGATACTGGTTAAAATTATACAGGTCTCGGGTGCAAAAATATAAAGTAAACCATGTGAGACATAGATGCGAGTACAGCAGAGAGAAGGATGGGCAGGCTTACTAGATAGCTGTGGTGGCTGGGTGAGAGTGTAGCATGCATAAGACCATAAGCTATTCCACACCAGTGGTGAAGCCCTGAAAGTATTAGGATTAATATTATCATTGTGTCAATACTGTACTTAATTGGTCTACTTTGGGATATCTTTATAAAACTTTTGGAAGGGTGTCTAAATTCTGACCACTAATTAACGTCAAGATTAGATCTAGAAGAATCTAACTCAATTTGGCAAAATAAGTTGAAAATTAATAATTTAGTATCATTAATCAGTAACCATCACTAGTATTTTAATTAGTGATAGTTTTCTTATCCTTTTAAGTACATATTAGATTTAGACATATTTCTTAGTGTGTAAAGATATTGTTATTTTTATAATACTCTCATAGATAATAATTGTTATTTCATTCTACTTTTGCTTCCAGCACTGCAGGTTGCATTTGGTTCACTGTATCGAGATGATGTCTTAATAAAGCCCAGTCGAGTTATTGCCATTTTGGCGGCAGCTTGTATGCTACAGTTGGTAAGTATGCACATTATTCAACGAAAGGCTTACAGTTGTATTTTTATTTCAAAGTATTCCAAAACAAAAAATCAAGTTTAGCTTTTTATAATTTTGAAAACAAAAATGAATTGTATAAATATGCCATTTGTGGTGTCATCAAAAACGCTTAACCAAAAGCAATTTATTGCACCCAAAGAGGTCATGATGTGTATGTAAGATGAATGCAAGCTATTTCTATGTAGACATCTTAGAATGACAGATTTCATTAATGGCGTGTTTTGACTGTTATGAAGCAGATGGCTTATAATTACGTACTGATTAGTTCATGGGTTCAAAAAACGAGTGCTTACTATGTAAACTTTTTCTTAATTATGAAATAACTGTGTGTAAATGTGTATAATCTATTGGTAGAAGGACAGATTTGTTCATTCAACAGAAGTATACTGAGCAATGTACTAAAGTAGGCATAAAGATCCAAAGATACTGTCCACACCTTTAGAAGCTCACAATATAATGAATGTCGAATGGAAAAGGGTGGGTTGATATGCGATCCAAAGGTAAATAAGAGCTGTCCAGTGTTATAGGTACAATCATAAACTTCCTGTAGGATTTAGTAGGTGCACAAAGTGATCAGTTCAATGTGTTTGTGTCATAGAAGGAAGTTGTGTTTGAGGTGAGTCTTGAAAACCAAAAAATTACTTCTTTTGCAAAGTAAGAAGAGAGGAGAAGGGAAGAGCAATTCAGACAATAAACTAAGACATAGTGGTGAAACTGGAGAATTCGCCGAGACCGGTTTGGCTCAATGGATAGAGCGTCGGTTTGGGGACTGAGGGGACCCAGGTTCGATTCCGGTCAAGGGCATGTACCGTGGTTGCGGGCATATCCCCAGTAGGGGGTGTGCAAGAGGCAGCTGATCGATGACTCTCTCTCATCGATGTTTCTAACTCTCTATCTCTCTCCCTTCCTCTCTGTACAAAATCAATAAAATATATTTAAAAAAAAAAGAGAAAAAAAAGAAACTGGAGAATTAGAGAATCTGAATGGAACATGGCTCTAGCATAGAATATAAGAAGGGCTGGAGAGAGGGAGACAGAGGCCCACTCATGAAAGCTTTCTATACCTTTCAAAAAGTTTAGGTTTTATGTATAGTACATTTGGAAGATTTTAATCAGGGGAAAGACAAAGTTATGTTTTAGAAAGAAAGCTTTAGGAACAATGTGAAGGATGGATTGAAGAAAAGATAAGTATAAAAAACTATCATAATCAAATGAGGGCCTAAATTAGAGTCTAAACATTAAGAAGAGAGAGGAAAAACTGAAAACCACAGAGGATAAGCAGGGGTAATCCACTGGATTTGGTGACAAAGGAGATGTTAAGAGGAAAGGAGAGGAATCTAGAATGACTTTTTCAGGTAAGTTTAAGTCATTGATTTATTTTGATCTTTAAAAAAGTTAATTGAGTTTCCTTTTATGTGGCATTTGTATACTGATTTCTTTGAGATTTACTTAATAACTTGCTAAATATACTTGCTTGGAGTTATTTGATTTTTTTTTAAATGTTTTGATCCTTACAATTATTATTTCCATGTAATATCCTTTATTTTCTAACTTTAGTCCTGTTTTGGTTTTGTGCTATTAATAAATCCACTTTCTGCATTATCTTTATGGCTTAACTATTTAACCTAATAATATACTTGCATGAATATATTTTAGAAATTTGAGTAAACAGTGATAGTCTTTTTCACATATATTGAATAAATTTTGCTTGAAATCTTTTGTATAAACATTTTATTTATTTATTTTTTTAAAAAATATATTTTATTGATTTTTTACAGAGAGGAAGAGAGAGGGATACAGAGTTAGAAACATCGATGAGAGAGAATCATCGATCAGCTGCCTCCTCTACACCCCCTACCGGGGATGTGCCCGCAACCCATGTACATGCCCTTGACCGGAATCAAACCCGGGACCTTTCAGTCCCCAAGCCGACGCTCTATCCATTGAGCCAAACCGGTCTCGGCCGTATAAACATTTTAAATTAAAATTTCAATGTAAGCTTAAAACAAAAATGTGTTTGGTTTAGGTACATCTCTTAGATATTGATAAGTGTTTTAAACTTTAATAAACACTTTCTGATGATTTATAGTTTACTTGCTTAGGTCTGTGTAAAGAGATTTTAATTTAAAAAGAACTGGTAAAACAGAATGTTTAAATTTGCAAAGGTCCCTGAAAGGGAAGAATTGAAAGAGAATAATATTCATCTCTGCCTACTCCTTTACCCCCTCTTCCACATTTAATTCCAAGTATTTAGTTGAATACTTGCTGGATTTTTTTTTTCCAATATTTTTACTGGACTTACTGCTGCACTTAATAAGTTTCTTTCTTTCTTCCTTTAAAAAAACCCACTTTTTAATATGTAAAAGTACATGTTTCAGAGCTAATTTTTCCCACATGAAATGGGCCTTTCCACTGCTTATTTATATTTACAGGATGGTTTAATACAGCAGTGTGGTGAGACAATGAAGGAAACAATTAATGTGAAAACTGTATGTGGCTATTACACATCAGCAGGGACCTATGGATTAGATTCTGTAAAGAAAAAGTGAGTTACCCTTTTTGTTTTTTCCTTCCATTCCACTTGTGGGAATTTGGCTGCTTTGGTTTCCTAAGAGAATGTGTAGTGTGACAAAGAAAGAAAGAAAGGAAAAAAAAATAGAAGAATAGAACTTTATTTAAAAAGTTCCTTTTTACATTTGGACAGATTAGTAAATTTCTCAAAAGTGTTGTCTTTGTAAGTGACCATGGGTGGGTTACTAGTATACCTGCTTATAAAAACTATGGTCACTCTTTACAGTATGGTCATAGTAGATCTTCTATAAAATCTTTCAAATAGTAGACATACTGGACATCATATCAGTGCAACTACTGACAATGTTTTTAACTCTTGAAAATTTCCGTACCTATTTTCAAATTATAAAGAAGTAATGGAAGTATGTAAGTCCTTTCATAAACCATTTAACACAAACTTGAAATGAGGTTTTCTTAAGTTGAAATATTCTTATTAATATAAAGGGAATATTCCCTTAATAATTGCTGACAAAAATAATACTAAATTCTCAATTTTAAATTAAAAATTTTGAGCATGTAGAAAGACTAATATTCTGTTTTTATTTTAACTGTAAGTCATACTTAGTAAATCATCAATCCATGATATACAGTGTAATAATTCCTTATTTAATTTCAGGTGTCTTGAATGGCTTCTAAACAATTTAATGACTCATCAGAATGTTGAACTTTTTAAAGAACTGAGGTATTTGAATTTTAAATAACTTTGTAATCATTCTAAATATTGTTTTACATTTTCCAAAGTATGCAAGACATTTTTGTATAAAACAAAAATATATTACTGCCGTAACTGGTTTGGCTCAGTGGATAGAGCGTTGACCTGTGGACTAAAGGGTCCCAGGTTCGATTTCGGTCAAGGGCATGTACCTTGGTTGCAGGCACATCCCCAGTAGGGGGTGTGCGAGAGGCAGCTGATCGTTGTTTCTAACTCTCTATCCCTCTCTCTTCCTCTCTGTAAAAACTCAATAAAATATATATATATATATATATATATATATATATACACACACACACACACACACACACACACATATTACTTATGAAAAAGTAAATTTTTATTTTAAAAAAATATATATTTTATTGATTTTTTACAGAGAGGAAGGGAGAGAGATAGAGAGCCAGAAACGTCGATGAGAGAGAAACATCGACCAGCCACCTCTTGCATACCCCTCATCGGGGATATGCCTGCAACCAATGTACATGCCCTTGACCGGAATCGAACCCGGGACCTTTCAGTCCACAGACCAACGCTCTACCACTGAGCCAAACCGGTTTCGGTTGAAAAAGTAAATTTTTAAAAATAAATATATTTTTATTTCAGAGAGGATTGAGGCGGGGGGGGGGGGGGGGGGGGGAGGGGGGGGGAGGGGGAAATCAAAATATCAAATATATGAGAAAATCATTGGGCTGCATCTTGCATGACCACCTCCACCAGGGCGTATGCCTTGACGGGGAATTGAACCATGATCTTCTGGTTAATAAGTCAATGCTCAACCACTGAGCCATGCTGCCTAGGTAAAAAAAAGTAAACAATTTAACAAAAGGTATTTTGACTGTATCTATGAACTAATGAAATGCTACACAAATTATAAATAATACTAGAGGCCCGGTGCACAAAAATCATGCACTGGAGGGGGGTGGTCCCCTCAGCCCAGCCTGTGCCCTCTCACAGTCCAGGACCCCTGCTAGCTTAGGCCCAATCCCCTAAGCCAGCAGTCAGATATTCCTCTCACACTGGGGCTCTTACAGTCCGGGACCCCTCTCAGTGGAGTTGGGAGAGGCTCCCACCACTGCTGCTGCGCTCGTCAGCCACGAGCCCAGCTTCTGGCTGAGTGGCACTCCCACTGTGGGAACACACTGACCACCAGGAGGCAGCTCCTGCATTGAGCGTTTGCCCCCTGGTGGTCAGTGCGCATCATAGCGACCAATTGTTCTGCTGGTCATTCTATTTGCACATTAGGGTTTTATTATATAGGACTAGAGACCCGGTGCACGAAATTTGTGCAAGAGGTGTGTGTGTCCCTCAGCCCAGCCTGCACCCTCTCCAATCTGGGACCCCGAGGGATGTCTGACTGCCTGGATCGGGCCTAACTGAGCAGTCAGACATCCCTCTCACAATCCAGGACTGCTGACTCCCAACTGCTCGCCTGCTTGCCTTCCTGATTGCCCCTAACTGCTTCTGCCTACCAGCCTGATCACACTCTAACCACTCCCCTGCCAGGCTGTGGTGGTTTATAGGCCAGCCATCCTCCCCAGCAACCCAAGCAGAGGCCCTGGTATCTGGGATTTATTTATCTTCTATAATTGAAATTTTGTAGCTTTAAGCAGAGGCCAAGGCAGGCCAGGGCAGGCAGAAAGCTTGTCTTCCTCCATCGCCAAGTGCAACTCAAACCTCCTCCTTTCTCCAGCTCTGGTGCTGCTGCCATTTTTGTTGGGATTTATTTATCTTCTATAATTGAAACTGTAGCCTTGAGCTGAGGCCAAGGCAGGCCAGAGTAGATGGAAAGCTTGGCTTCCTCCATTGCCCGGGGCAACTCAAGCCTGCTCTCTCTGTGGCTGCAGCCATCTTGGTTGGGTTGATTTGCATACTCTCTTCTGATTAGCTGGAGGGTGTAGTGGAGGCAAGGTCAATAATATGTATTATGTTGACTTGTTTAACCAATTTTAATGAAAAAATTCATTGCTGCTATAAAATTATAGGAAAATCTTTAAGTGTTACCTCACTTTCATTGTGCTCTTAGAGAACCTACAAGGTTATTTTTAAAATCATCTTTAGCCCTGGCTGGTATGGCCCAGGGTGTTGTCCTGTGCACCAAAAGGTTGCTGGTTTGATTCCCAGTCAGGGCACATGCCTGGGTTTTGGACTCAATCCATGGTGGGGAACATTTAAGAGGCAGCCAATCGATGTTCTGCACATCAGTGTTTCTTTTTTTAAAAACATATTGATTTTTTACAGAGAGGAAGGGAGAGAGATAGAGAGTGGACAATACAGAGATGATTATGTCATGGCTCTGCCCCCAAGAAGCTTATTTGTAGTAATGGGGGAATCTGAGAAATTCAGGGTGGGAATAATCTTTTAGAGACCAGTAGGCTTTTTAGTCTTGCATTTCAGGCTTGCATTTTCTTTACACTCCAATGGAAATGTACAAAACCAATAACTTATTGCTGCATAGCTTTCTGGAATGTCAATTTTACTGATTTGGGGTGGGGAGAGGGGTAGGAAGCATAGAGAGACCTAAGAGATAAACATTTTTATGCATTAAATACAGTATGGAGTAGAGAATTCCAATTTCTTTGAACTTTCAAGATAAAATACAAGAATTAATGTAAATGTTACTTTTATGGCTAGACCACCTTCTGAATTCTTGGATCCTTTCCTTTTCTCTACCCTTCAATACTTTAGTAGAAAGAATTATTCTACCCCCAAAAAAGTAAATAAATAAAAATCATCACCTAGTGATATCATGGCATAAACAAAGCTCTGCAGTATGTTTGGTTTGAAAATCATTAGAAACACTATTTTTTTCTATCATAATCTCTCATTGAGCTTTTTTAAAAGTAAGATAAATCACAGGGACTATCTTAAAAACTCAAATGCTCTTTTTCTGACTTGAAGGAAAGAAAAAGGAAAAGAAGGAAAGCAACTGGTCATATTATTTTTTATCTAAATTTAAGTTAACATATGTTTCTTTCTTTTTTGATGTTGTTGTTTTTGGTAATCCTCACCTGAAGATATTTTTTCCATTGCTTTTCAGAAAGAGGAAGGGAGGGAGGAAAACATTGATTGGTTGTCTCCTCAGGCTTCCCTTTTTTTTGGGGGGGGGGGGGGAGAAACGAGGGAATGGAGGGAGTAAATCCAAAACCCAAGTACATGCCCTGACCCCTAAGTAATGGGCTGATGCTCTAACCACTTAGATACACAGGCCAGGGCAAACCGACACACATTTCGTGATCTTACTCCCATAAACAATAAAAGCATTGTTTTATGACTAAGCAGTTCTCTTAAGCCTAATTTAAAGGTTACTTTGGAGATCTGTTTCATTTTATTTTGACAAATGTCTTTTTTTAAACATTAAATGGGAGGAAAGGAAAAAGAGGAAGGCTGCTACTTTATTAGAGCATACTAAACGTTATCTTATTGGGACCTTGCTTTAACCGAATTAATTAGCAGATCAGAACTCTTTTCGTTTTCCTGTTAGTATTATCCCTGTGTTCAAATGGATTGTTTTCTGCCAAAGATTCTTTGTCTTGGGCTAAAAGACTGGTTTAATTTTTAATTGCACATTTTCTTTTGTGCATTGTTTTCATTTCCACCAGCCTCTCTTAGCCTGTGCATGAAGATGACTCACTACCTCTGTTTTATCTTTTCTAGTATAAATGTCATGAAACTGCTTATTGGTTCATCTAACTTATTTGTGATGCAAGTGGAAATGGATGTGTACACAGCTCTTAAAAAGGTATTGATGTAATATAATGTGTGTGGGCTATTACCTCGGCATTGATGATAATAGTGAAATATTGGTAACAGATAGTGTCCAGTGATAGGGAATAGTTATAAATTTAAGAAAAATAAAGTAAATATGGGAAAATGTTAAGAAGTCTTTGTGTTTAGGGATTTGGTGCCACGATGAGTGATTTTAATTTGGTCTTCCTACTTTCTCTCCTAGGAATACATTTCTGTTTTTTCCCAGAATTTTTCAACAACTAATAGGTTATTGTTATGCTATTTACATAATCAGAAATGTTAAATGTTTTACAGTTGACTCTTGAACATTTCAGGGGTTAGGGGTACTGAATTTAATCTCCTCTTACCCCCAACCCCAAGTTCTTGACTCCCCAAGAATTTAGCTACTCATAACTACTAATAACCTATTATCGGCCTCACTGATTAACACATATTTGGTGTGTTATATGTATTCTGTGTTCTTACAATAAAGTAAGCTAGACAATAAAATGTTATAAAGAAAATCAAAGGGAAAAGAAAATACATTTATAGTATTTCTTGAAGAAAACACACAAGTAAGTGGACCTGAACAGAAAAAAACCTGTATTGTATATGGTTTTCAGAAATGTTTTCAAGTTGAGGTTTAAGTGAAGTAATAAATATAATGAAATCTTCACACATGCTTTTCTAGAAAACATTGAAATTCTTCTCTTAAAGACCTTGTTTGCATTCAGGCGTATGTTTCATCCCATCCTTTTCAAAGGTTTCAACATTTTAAATGTAATTTTATTTTCACCACTCTCTTAAGAGACAGATTTTTTTTGTAATTAATAAATATTATTTTTATTATTCTTGTTCTATACATACTAAGACTTAGAATACTTACAGTTACTAAGTGGTAGCCTTGAGTCAGAACCCAGGTATTAAGAGTCCCAATCCATTGCTTTTCTCACTGCATCATTTTGTCCCCACCATGGAGTCTATATTTAACAAGATTGTGAAATCTAGGAATGCAACACCTTCTAGTTATATCATTGTGGTTGTTTTTATGGTAGGATGTTATTCCTATTTTTCTTCAAGAAATTTGAGCCGAGCTGAGGCCGGTTTGGCTCAGTGGTAGAGCGTCGGTCTGCAGACTGAAGGGTCCCGGGTTCGATTCTGGTCAAGGGCGTGTGCATTGGTTGTGGGCACGTCCCTGGTGGGGGTTGTGCAAGAGGCAGCTGGTCGATGATTTCTGTCATTGACGTTTCTGGCTCTCTATCTCTCTCCCTTCCTCTCTGTAATAAATAAATAAAATATATTTAAAAAAAGAAGAAAAAAAAAGAAATTTGAGCCGAAACCGATTTGGCTCAGTGGATAGAGCGTCGGCCTGCGGACTAAAGGGTCCCAGGTTCTATTCCGGTCAAGGGCATGTACCTTGGTTGTGGGCACATTCCCAGTAAGAAGTGTGCAGGAGGCATCTGATCGATGATTCTCTTTCATCGATGTTTCTAACCCTCTCTCTTCCTCTCTGTAAAAAAAATCAATAAAATATATTTTAAAATAAAGAAAGAAAAAGAAAAAACTTAAAAAAAAGAAGAAATTTTAGTAATGGGGTTATCTAATCATTAAAGGAATGGTAGATCATTTCTAGAAGAGTAGCAGCTCATTTCTATTGCTAAGCCTCCGGCAGCATTCATACTTTCCTGTTATAACTGCTGTTAGGCCAATAATGATAAATGTTTACTGTGTGCTAAGCACTGTTCAAAGTGTGCTACACATACTGATTTTTTTAATGTTCTATGAGGTAGACATATTAAGCTCATTAAACAATTGAAGAAATTAAGGCCCAGAGAAATTAAGTAATTTGCCCAGCTATTAGTTAGTAGGGTCAGGATTTAAAAGTCCATGCTCTTTTCTGTACTGCATACTGTCTCAACAGCGATAAGGTAATAAGAAACTCCTTTTTCCCTTGTTTAATTTCTCACATTTATAATTTCACATAGTATGTGGTGGAATCGAGTTAATTGATCAGTAGAATAAATTAGTTTAAAATTGGTATAAATTTGGTAATGTAATGTAATATATATTAAACCTTTACCTTTTTAATAGTAAAACTACAATGTATTTGAGATCATAAATACTTTAAAGAATTAGTTTATTCTCTTTTTAAAAATGTATTTTTATTGATATCAGAGAGGGAAAGAGATAGAAACATTAATGATGAGAATCATCGATTGGCTATCTCCTGCACACCTCACACTGGTATTTGAGCCCACAACCCAGACATTGCCCTGACCGCGAGAATCAAACCATGACCTCCTGGTTCATAGTTTGATGCTCAACCACAGAGCCATGCCGAGTGGGGAAGAATTAATTTATTCTTTATTGCACACTCACCTAGTTTTTATTATTGGACAATGATTAATGCCATGATTAATTTAAAGCTTGTAAGCATGCCATGTAATAGTTCTACTTCTTTCAGTTGCTTGTAATGAAAATTAAATTTTTTAGCATTATGTTTAAAGGGGAAGCAGTTTAAAAATTGTAAAAATCATAATATGTTTAAGTTTTTGTCAATTTTTTATTTACTTTTTTAACCTAGTGGATGTTCCTTCAACTTGTGCCTTCTTGGAATGGATCTTTAAAACAGCTTCTGACTGAAACAGATGTCTGGTTTTCTAAGAGGAAAAAAGGTATACCTGAAATTTTTATTAAAAGCTTGTTTTTATAATTGAAATTTATTAAAATCATTATAGACATAGAAAATTTTAGTGCTGGAGAGCACCTTAGCAATTATCTAATTCAACCCTTCATTTCCACTGAGAAAATTGAGGCTGGATAAGGAAAATGCCTTGCTTAGCAGTAACTGAATTATTACTCTTTAAACCATGTTTTGAGCTCCCAAAACTACTGTTTTAAAATTTATCTTTTGTTTGATCGTATTGAGTTTTCCCTACAAATTAAACCTGTGTATTAGAAAACAATTCTTCACTTGGGGGGGGCCCACAGATAGGCTTCTGTGTATCACTAACCTCTGAAAGTGGATGCAAAATTGTGTGTGTGTGTGGTATTTTGGGGGGGGGGGAAGAATTTCCATAATTTTCATCAGATTCCCAAGGAAAGTTGACCTGAAATTGGTTAAGATCAACTGCCATAAGATCTTCCTTATCTGGACAGAGATAGAGCACGTAATATATTTATTTTACTTTACTAAAATAGATACACGTTAAAAATTTAATGGCCCTCAGGTAAGGAAGTACATAACTTAATAATCCTTAGTTCATGATTTTCTTAGTTTACTGTCATTTTTTGTCTGTGCCTGGCCCCATTTTTTGTTTATCTATACCAGTGGTCAGCAAACTGTGGCTCTGTTGACTAATGAGTTTGCCGACCACTGATCTATATTAATTAAAGGGCAATATGCTAATTAGATCGGATGTCTTCTGGACAAAGCCATGGTGGCAGGACAGAGGTAGAGGCAGAGGCGGTTAGGGGCAATCAGGCTGGCAGGGGAGAGCAATTAAGAGGGATCAGGCTGGGAGGGGAGAGCAGTTAGGGATTAGGCCAGGAGGGGAGAGCAGTTAAGGGGATCAGGCCAGCAAGCAGGTGAACAGTTAGGAGCCGGCAGTCCCGGATTAGGAGAGGGATGTCCAACTGATGATAGATGTCCCCCCTGTGTCATCACCTGGCATAAGCTACAATGCAATCTGCAGATGGCTGCTATTTGTGCTGGACTTGGAAGTGCCCAGGAGAAACCAAGCTGTGAACCAAGGCTGGCTGCCACTAGTGCTGGGCCTGAGACCACTTAGCAGGAGCTAAGTGGCACACTATGGCCAGATGCTGCTTGTTTTAGAGATTTTTAGGAAGTCCAAAGCATGAGCTAAGACAGGCCTTTTGTATGGAAAAGCCACTGGAAACAATTTTGGGGCCTGCAAGTTGGATGCATTGGGGTCTCAGGGAATCAGCAGGGTGAGGCTAACAGAATTAGCCAGATTGATGGAGACTCAGTTATGGCACCTCCCTACTGGCTCTGGGGAAGGGAGAATACTTCTGTCTGGGAGAAAGCCACTCCTCTAGCTCTCACCCCAATGCCAGACAACTCGGTTTCTCCCTGTATGTCCTGGGTTTCCCAGTGCTGAAACTCAGAGCAAGTGAGACCAATTAAGTCCTTATTGGGCCCTTTAAGAGAAACACTTGAGACTCTAGCAGCCCTCTGTCTCACTCAGCCACAATCCAAGCTGGTTTTCACAATCAGAAGTTACAGAGACTTCTCGTGCTGGCATTGAAACCATGGTCAGGGGGCCTGGTATGGGGCTGGCACTCCTCCCTCTGCAGGGGTCCTCAAACTTTTTAAAGTGGGGGCCAGATCACGGTCCCTCAGAGAGCTGGAGGGCCGGACTATATGAACTACTAATTCCTACTGTAACACCTCGGCTGCACTCACTGCCAAAAAGCCTGGCGGGCCGGATCAGACTCCTCTGCGGGCCGCATGTGGCCCGCAGGCCATAGTTTGAAGACGCCTGCGTCTACAGGGAGCATCTCTGCATGCAAAGATATCTCCTGATTTTTATTCACCACTCATGAGTGTGGGGCAGCCCATTACACATCTCCGACCTTCCTACCAGTCTCGATGTGGCTTTTTCTTTATATCCTCAGTTGTAGGACTTCAGTTCAGCTGTATTTCAGGTGATTCTGAATGATAGTTGTTCTGTAGTTTATTCGTAAATTTAATGTGGTTGTGGAAGGATTTGAGTACAGCATTTACCTACTTTACCAGTTAAGCCATATACTTCTTACTTAAATTATTTTAACAATAAATACTATCCATGTGTACAGTAGCTACAGTGTTTTTGTATCTTATTTTATATTTGAACTAGAGGCCTGGTGCATGAAATTCATGCATGGGGGTGGGGGTGTGCCCCTCATCCCAGCCTGCACCCACCCTCTCCAATCTAGGACCCCTTGAGGGATGTCCGACTGTCTAGTAGGATTGGACCTAAACTCCCAACACACAAGATGGAGTGTGTGTGTGTGTGTGTGTGTGTGTGTGTCTCTCCAAACACCCATGACAACATTTAATAAAAACGTAAGTAAATTAATAGATTTGAAAAGAATGGCTATTTAACTTAAACTATCTTTTTTTTTTTTTTTTTGTAGATTTTGAAGGTATGGCTTTCCTTGAAACTGAGCAAGGAAAACCATTTGTATCAGTATTCAGATATTTAAGGTTACAGTATATCATCAGTGATTTGGCCTCTGCACGAATTATTGAACAAGATTCTCTAATACCTCCAGGTAAGAGAATATAATGAAATTATGATTTTAAGTAATATCTTTCTGATTATAATAATAATATATATCATAGAAAAGCATACTTAATAGAAATTATCCTTAATCCTAGTAAGATACACAGTTTTATACCAAAGCTGAATCCTAACATGCAGGTAATTTCCTGTGTTCACATCATATATTTTGGGTATTTTTCTATGTCATTAAATACTCCTCAGAATATTTAAGTGGTTATATATTTTTCTGTAATATAGGTGTTCTTTCATTTTATTAACTAGTACACTACTTTGCACCAGACTTTTTAAAATGGTTTTTGTAGTCTTTAAAGTTTATAACTCCTTTTTTCTATTAATACTCCATAAATTCGCTTATTTTCTTTTTTCCTTATTCTAATCTTAAATCTCTAATGTTACATATTAGAAAATGTAATATCTTTGCTAATTATAATTTAAAATTTTAAGACAATTACTTATTTAATATTCTCAACTAAATCTCTAGTGCTTGTATAAAATTCAGTTTAGTACTATATATACATCTAAGAAGCATAGAATAGACTTTCTGTTTTGAAGACTTATTTGTAAATTTGCAAACATTAGTAATAGATTTGTCTGAAAAATTATAACTATTTGATACCTCAGTTTTTAATATAGCTGTGTTTGTAGATTTAAATTGTTCTTGTAATCTGTATACTTATTTAAAAAGGTATTCAATGGAAAGCAAACCTAGAGTAACACTCTGATACATTTGAAAGTAATGTATTTTTATAAAATCACTAATAGGTTTACAGACATTGTTTTTCTATTAGTTTCATATAAGTCATTTTTATTTTATTTCTTTATTTTTAATGTTAAGGAGGCCCTTATTCAGATCAAGAGGCCTAGTGCATGAAATTCGTACATTTGGGGAAGGGGTCCCTCAGCCCAGATTGCAAGAGGGTTGCAGGCCAGGGTGAGAGACCCCACCAGTGCATGATTGGGGCCAGGGAGGGACGCAGGAGGCTGGCCAACCGGAAAGGGACCACTGGAGGGCTCCAGGGCATGTCCAGCCCATCTCTTGCTCAGTCCCACTGGCTGGATCCCAGTAGCAAGCTAATCTGTTTGGAGTGTCTGCCTCTGGTGGTCAGTGTACATCATAGCAAGCAGTTGAACAGCCTTGGCATATCATTAGCATATTACTCTTTAATTGGTTGAATGGATGACTTGACGCTTAGCATATTAGGCTTTTATTATATAGGATTATTGTGAGAAATGTAGAAACTATTTCAGCAAGGGAGAGAGATCAAACTCAACTCCCCATATGAATCATTTTCATAATATTATTGGGTCTAGTAATAATAATAATGTCGTTTTTTAACATTCATTTAAAATCTTGCTTGGTGTTGACTTGTATTGACATAACCTTCAAACACGTGGTATCTACAGAACGTGTGAAGTGCAATTAACAAGTTTTGCTTGAAAAAGTTTGTGTTTGGTTTGGTTTTTGTTGCAAAACTAGGGCTAAGAAGATGGCGGATGAAGAGCATATTCGGCACTGCATGCTTTACGAGTTCCAATTAGGAAGAAAAGCAAGTGAGGCTGCAAAAAACATCTGTAGTGCTCTTGGTCAAGATGCAGTTAGCGCCAGAAAATGCCAGCGTTGGTTTGAGAAATTTCGCGAGGGAAATTTTTCGTTAGATGACAAGAGTGGTCGAGGCCGTGTGTCCAATTTTGATCAAGAAGCTCTTCAAGCTCTTTTGGTGCAAAATCCTCAAATTACCCAACAAGAGCTTGCGACAACTTTAAATTGTTCACAAAAAACAATTTCCAATCAATTGCGTGCACTTGGCAAAGTCCAAAAGTTTGGAAAATGGGTTCCTCATGGAAGGGAGAGAGAGAGAGAGAGAGAGAGAGCTAGAAATGTCGATAAGAGAAACATCGACCAGCTGCCTCCTGCACACCCCCCACCGGGGTTGCACCCACAACCAAGGTACATGCCCTTGACCGGAATCGAACCTGGGACCTTTCAGTCCACAGACCGACGCTCTACCACTGAGCCAGGCGAGGCTGTGGGCCGCATTTTGCCCCATGGGGTCTCAGCAGCGTTGGCTGCGATTTGGTGAGATATCGCTCCAGGTGGTGGTGGAACCTGTGTCCCACTTGGGGGAAGTGAGGTGTTGCTTTGTTGGTGCCAGGTCCTCAGTGCCATTTCTTTGTAAATGGCCAGTGTGCATCACCGCAGCTCCTGCGTTGAGCATTTGATTACGACAACAGCCGTAATCAAAGAGTCACAATTTGCAGTTCGCTCCTCTCTCGTCAAAACCGTTTGCCGTTTTTAGAGCAAATTGTTACCGGAGATGAACAATGGGTGCTGTATGTTAATTTGAAAAGGCGGCCTCAATGGTTGGACAAAAATGAGGCTCCACAGCCCACGCCAAAACCTGACTTGCATGCGAAAAAAGTGATGTGTGTTTGGTGGAATTTTAAAGGAATTCTTCATTATGAACTTTTACCATCTAACCAAACCATTACAAGTGCAGTGTATAGTGCCCAATTGGAAAGGTTAGCCCAAGCTTTAAGAGAAAAAGAACCCGCGCTGATTAATCGTAAGGGCATAATTCTTCACCACGATAACGCACGACCGCATACTGCAAGAATCACTGCTGAAAAACTGTGCCAGTTGGAATGGGAAGTTCTCCCTCAACCTGCATATTCTCCTGATATTGCCCCTTCCGATTATCATTTGTTTCATTCTTTGCAAAACTTTCTTCTTGGAAAAAAATTTAATAATGAAGAATGCCTCAAAAATGCATTGACCGAATTTTTCGCATCAAAATCACAAGAATTTTACAACAGAGGGAGTAAAATGCTTCCTGAGCGTTGGGCACAAGTAGTAGAAAACAACGGCAACTATATTGTTGATTAAATTTTGTTGTATTGTTTAAATAAATTCGATTTAAAAGTATTAGAAAACGACATTAATTATTACTAGACCTAATAGTTTTAGAGAGCCAAGATGAGATGGTGTGTACTATATTTGCATCGTTGTGGGGTTTTTAGACACAGTTTCTCTGAAGATTATATTCTCTACTAGAAGCCCAGTGCATGGATGGGTTCTGGCCAGCCTGGCTGCAATTAGGGCGGATCGGGGCCAGGCCTATTGGGAGGAGGAGACGGTGGGAGGTTGGTGGGAGGTTGGCTGGCCGCCCGCCCCAATCAGGGTCAGGCCAGTTGTGGGGAGAGATCACAGGCAATTGGCCAGTGAGTCTCGCTCTGATTGGGATTGGGGGCCAATTAAGGGCAGGGCCAGCCATGGGGAGGAGCGTGGGCTGTGGGAGGTTGACTGGCTGGCCCTGCCCCTGACCGGGCCGGTTCTCTGGCCACAGTGTACATCATAGTGACTGGTCGTTCCAGTCATTATGGTGTTAAGTCAATTCAAGAGTTATGAGGAAAGATACCAATAAATCAGTACAAGTCATCTGGATACCTTTATTAGAGACTTATAAAGTGAAAATCCAGATTTTAACCACATTAGCGTTTCCCCCTTTTTTTAATTTTGGGTAGAGATTGAGAACGTAAAATATAGAAAAACTCTACTGGTCAGATAACTCCATTGGTTAGAGAGTCATCTGATTAGCCAAGGTTGTGAGTTCGATCCCCTAGTCAGGGTGCATACAAGAAACAATGAGTGAATAAATAAGTGGAACAACAAAGCAATTTTTTATCTCTCTCTAAAATCAATAGGTATAAAATTTTAAAGAAAAAGGAAAAAATTTTACATTATAAAAAAAATTCTTGTGGTTGAGAATAAATAAAAGCAGAAAAATATGGTGTTAAGTCAATTCTGCTTATATTTTTAATATAGCTATGTTTTTAATCTAAAATAATTTCAGTTTACACATATTGATTTGATGGGGGAAATTACGTTTATTAAAGGAAAATATCTGCAATTTTTATTCCATTTATAGGATTTAAATTGGAATTTTTATTTTTAAAAATAGTTACCTAAGTTTAATATGCTAGAATCATTTCTCTAGTGTGCATAATTCATCTGGTAATTTAAAGATGGCTTATTTTCTATTAATTAGTTATTTTTAGATTACAAAAGAACAATCCATTAGTTTTCTGTTAAAACTTTTGTAAAAACTGAAAATATTTCTTTAGGGTATGTTTCTCACAAATGAAAGTTATGAAAAGAAAACTATTAAATACAAGGATATACTTTTAGCTAAAGATTTAAGTTCTAATTTAAATGTATATAATCTAAATAGAATCTAACGTAAGGCAAAACAAAATAGCACCTACCACTTTAAAAATCATTAAGCCATATTATTATAACATATTTATAAAATATAAATCACCAGCTTTATTTATTGCTATTCTAAACTTGAATTTAGAAAAAGTAACAATTTTATCAAATTCTTAAAAATTTTAAATCCTTTCTATTTTTCCATGTTTCTAATATATTTATTCATTTTTACATTTTAGGATGGCTGTCTTCTGTGTATAAACAGCAGTGGCTTGCTATGCTCCGGGCAGAACAAGACAGTGATGTGGGGTAAGTATGTTACATTATATCATTTCTCATTAGAAAAAAACTGGCTAAAAACCAGTTTGGTTCAGTGGATAGAGCATCGGCCTGCGGACTGAAAGGTCCCAGGTTCGATTCCGGTCAAGGGCATGTACCTTGGTTGTGGGCACATCCCCAGTAGATAACAAGAGGCAGCTAATCGATGTTGCTCTCTCATTGATGTTTCTAACTCTCTATCCCTCTCTCTTCCTCTCTGTAAAAAATCAATAAAATATATTAAAAAAACAAACAAAACAAAACAAAAATTTTGGCTATATGAATTTAAGGGCATTCATTATATTGAAAAATCAGTAACCATATTGAAAAATCAAAAGCTATTAAAGTAGAACAAAGATCATGTAATCAGCTTTATTTCTTATCTTTCTACTGGAGGCCCGGAGCACAAGATTTATGCACTGCAGGGGGATGGGGGAAAGTAGCCTTCAGCCCAGCCTATGCCCTGTAACAGTTCGGAGCCCTCAGGGGCTGTTCAATTGACAGCTTAGGCCAGCTCCCCTCGGAGGTTCCCACCACTGCCACTGTGCTTGCCAGCCATGAGCCCAGCTTCTGACTGAGCAGTGCTTCCCCCGTGGGAGCGCACTGACCACCAGGGGGTAACTCTTGCATTGAGTGTCTGCTCCCTGGTGGTCAGTGAGCATCATAGTGACCGGTTGTTCCACCATTAGGAACAGAGACATCCCCCGAGAGGTCCTGTATTGTGAAAGGGCACAGGCCAGGCCGAGGGACCCCACCAGTGCATGATTGGGGCTGGGAGGGACTGTAGGAGGGCTCCAGGGCGTGTCCAGCCCATCTTGCTCAGACCCCAGCAGCAAGCTAACCTACCGGTCAGAGTGTCTACCCCCTGGTGGTCAGGGCACGTGATGGCAACTGGTCAGTCGACTGTCAGCCCCCTGGGCAGTTGAGTGGCCTTAGCATATGATTAGCATATTATGCTTTGATTAGTTGAATGGCTGACTGGACAACTGGATACTTAGCATGTTATTAGGCTTTTATTATATACGATAACATTATCAATCTTATAAATATTTTTCTGGTCAATTATAATGGAATGTTTGAATTGTCATTTGCTATATTAGTGAAATTGAGTATCTCATATACTTTGTTTCACCTAGTGATATATTACAATTTTCTTTCAACATATTAAAATATTACTTAGAATAATCCTATATAGTAAAAGCCTAATATGTTAAGTGTCCAGTCGACCATTCAACCAATCAAAGCATAATATGCTAATGATATGCTAAGGTTGCTCAACCACTTGCAATGACATGCACTGACACAAGAGGGCAGTCAACCAGTTGACCAGTTGCTATGATGTACACTGACCACCAGGGTGCAAACAGTTGACTGGTCGACGAGTCACTATGATATGTACTGACCACCAGGGAGAAGATGCTCCAACCAGTAGGTCAGCTTCCTGTGGGGTCTGGCTGAGCAGGACTGAGCAAGATGGGCCAGACACGCCTTGGAGTCCTCTCACAATCCCTCCCCAGCTAGCTAACCTCCCATGCCCCTCCCTGGCCCCGATCATGCACCGGTGAGGTCCCTCAGCCTGGCCTATGCCCGCTTGTAATCCAGGACTCCTCAGGGGATGTCATAGAGCCAGTTTCAGCCTAATTCCTCAGGCCAGGCCAATGGACCCCACTAGTGCACAAATTCGTGCACCAGGCCTCTAGTGCTTTCATAAGACATGATTTTTATGAAGAATTTTGAGTCTAAAGATAATTAACATCCTGTGGTAACAGATTGCCTTACCCAAAAGCATATGACCTTGTACATAAATATTTATGGGAAAGAAAACTGTCTCTTCTTTCAATTCATAGTCCTCTGTGGTTTACAAAAGTACTGCCACATTTATTACTTGATCTTTATACTAGTTGGTATGAGCAGAGTGATGAGACAATCCATGTGTGAGTATATAAAAGAGGTCTTAAGAACTTTAATATTTTTGCCCCGATCCCTTTTAGCCATTTTTTAAGATTTTTTTAAATTGATTTTTAGAGAGAGAGGAAGGGAAAGGGAGAGAAACATTGATATGAGGGTGAAACATCAGTGGGCTGCCTCCTGCATGCCCTCTACCAAGGATCGAGCCTGAAACCTGGACCTGTGCCCTGATCGGGAATCAAACTGGCAATCTTTTAGTGCGTGGACTTATGCCTTACCAGCTGAGCCACACTGGCCGGGGCTAACGCATTTTTATATACCAAAGGACCTCCTAAAATAATGGCCTTGTTATGTTTATATCCAGACGATGAGTATGTAAAAGTTTCATACGAATTTATTATAATGATTATGAGATTATCCAGAGTTCTTAGTTTTACTATATATCCCATTTTTTCCCAAATATATTCACAAAATACTTATCTTATACAAGCATAAGATTATTGAAACAGAAATAATAAAAACTAAAAAATGAAAGTTAATTCTCAAGAGGAATTCAGATTTGAAACATTTTGGTAATGGAGGAAATACTTTATAAATCATTCTATTTCTTTTGTATATTCAGTTTTTAACTGTTGGATGTTCTTTATTTTTTAAAGATTTTTCTTGTCTGTATATTTATTGAATTTAAAATAGAGTCTCATTGAAAGGATTGAACTAGAATAGTGGTTTTCTTGCTCTCAGAAGTATAGAATTAATTATATTGGCCCTCATGAAGCACTCTATCCACATATATTGAACATCTGCTCATTCTACAGGGCTATTAAAGTGAGGACCATATTTAATCAATGAATTCTTATTTTATCTGCACCACAAAACACTTATTTTTTAACAAGTTTTAAAACATTTATTTTTTAACTAGTAACAAGTACTTCTGTTCTTTTTAACTCACAATTCTTTTTCAATTATTACTTGTCTATTTCCTATGAGATTTCATGATTTATGTATATTTCTAGGCCTCAAGAAATCAATAAAGAAGAACTAGAGGCAAACAGCATGAGGTGTGGTAGAAAGCTTGCCAAAGATGGTGAAGTAAGTATTGGTTGTGACTTTTAATAATTCTCATACAAATTGCTCTACTTTCAGTGCAAAATTCATTTTTAGTTACAGTCAGACACCAGAAGAGTTTTTTTTGATAGTTTCTATAGCACGGTCTCCTGGACAAAAAGTTACATTCTCAGTGGTGATTGATTATTTGGCCTTGTATCAGTTGAATTTTTTGGGTCCAGAAAAAAGATTTAAGAAGAGGATCCCTGGGCAATACAAAAATTAAGATGTACCGCAAAATAAGCACCTATATGGCCGAGGCCAGTTTGGCTCAGTGGATGGAGCTTTGGCCTGCGGACTCAGGGGTCCCAGGTTCGATTCTGGTCATGGGCACATACGTTGGTTGCTGGACGCATCCCCAGTGTGCAGGAGGCAGCTGATCGATGTTTCTAACTCTCTCCCTCTCTGTGAAAAATCAGTGAAATGTATTTAATAAGTAAATAAATAAATAAGCACTTAAATGGAAACTGTTACATAGTTGAAAAAGTAATTCTATTTTATAATTACCATTAAAAACATTCAAACCATTTCATTGCTAGAATGAAGAATTACATTTTTCATTACCCCCAATATAAATGTATAAAACTGTTATGAATTAATCTGCTGCTGTGTCCAAAGATCCTATTTGCTATTTTATTTTTTGGTGTGTTTTTATTGTTGTTGTTAATCCTTGCCTGAAGATATTTTCCCCATTGATTTTTAAAGAGAGAGGAAGTAAAGGAGGAGAGAAAGAGACATGTGGATTTGGAAACACACATCTTATTGGTTGCCTCTCTCCCACATCCTGACCCAGGGCCAGGGATGGAGCCCCCAACCGAGGTACATACCCTTGACCAGAATCAAATCTTCAACCCGTCAGTCAGCTAGGGCTCTCTTTAAATTTTTTAAAAAGTGGATTCTGACTCATTAAATTTATTTTATGGTCCACTAAAGGGACTTAAACTACATTTTTTAAAACTCCACCTCTTCAAAATATCTATTTCAAGCATATCATTTTTAGACTTTACCTCCTATTATCTTTCTAGCTCTATCCCCTCTAGCACCTGACTTCAACAGCTTTTTTTTTTTTTTTAACACCATCGATTTTTAAAGAGATTGGAAGGGAGGAGTAGTGGGAGGGAGAGAGAATGAAACATACATCTATGTGAGAGAGGCACATTGATTGGTCTGCCTCCGCATACACCCAACAGGGGCTGGAAATTGAACCTGCAACCCAGCTACATGTCCTTCACTGGGAATCAAACCCAGGACCCTTGAGTATTCAGGCCAGTGCTCTTCCACTGAGCATACAGGCCCAGGACCCTTGGCTTGTATGCATAATGTCCCTCTTGTCAAACTCACCTGGCAAAACCCAATTCTTATTAAGTACCAACTTTCCATAAACTCCATACCTGCTCCCAAACAGATGAATATAACTAAAGAAAAACGCATGAATGTAACTAAAGAAAAATCCCAGCAGGGGTTTGTAACTAAATTTCAAGCACATCTTGAGTGTTGCATGGTGATCCTTCTTAAGTTTCCCAAGGGAATATGTCCTCATGAGCCACATGCTGCTCTTTGGCCCCTTAAGTGTGGCTCTTCCACAAAATACCATGTGCAGGCGAGCCCGCACGTATAGTGCAATTGAAACTTCGTGGCCCATGCACAGAAGTTGGTTTTCGGCTCTCAAATTTCAATCATTGTGCTGTTGATATTTGGCTCTGTTGACTAATGAGTTTCCCGACCACTGCCCTAGATACAGTGCCATTCCTCAGATAAGCCAAGCATGTTTTCCCCTACAAAGCTTTGTATTTAATGTTCTCTTTGACACTCTTTCCCCATATAGCTATCTAGTCCATTTCTTAGTTGACTCCGGCCTCCACTCACTTAGCATCTTCTTAGACTTTCTTTGACAACCTGTCTGAACCAGCAGGCTCCCCAACTGCAAGCCCCCCTCCCCTACCTTGTTCTCTTTCCTGACAGTTCTGTTCCCTTTTCTTCCATTCCACTTTAGTCTATATGCATTATTAATCTACTTCCACACAAACGTATTAAATATACATTCTATTAGGGCAGAAACTTATTTACTGCTACTTCTTCAATGCCTAGAGCACATAGTATGTACTCAGTAGATATTGGTGAACTATTAAATTAGTTGTTTACTGTTAGAGTGTCAGCTAAACACTTGAAGACCCTAACTTTATTTCACTGTACCACACCATCTTACTTAATAGCCCCTCATTATTAAACTGCAGGATAAACAAACTTGTGAACCTAATATGGTATTTAAAATTATTCAGTTGTGAGTGCTAGCTTCGGCAGCACATATACTAAAATTATTCAGTTGTGTATCTTTGATTACTTACGGAATTTTAAAGTAAGGTAGATCTTAATGGGCTCATACTATCTCCATTTAGACTCCTATACCCTTAATCTATACCTACTTAGAGTTGCAATGAAAAGCCACATTACATTTGACAGAATTACATCATGGAGATGTATAAAACAGATCACAAAGAGGTGATATTAGGAATGTACTTCAAGGAACAATTATCACAAAGGCTGCTTTGGGGCTTTGATATATACTCTATCTGTATGGTACGCCTTTATATGTATTCACAGGCATATGGAAAGCCTCAGAGAGAGGCACTGACAAAAAGTATGGACCCATGAGAGAAATATTTGGAATGAGTTAGAGAGAAAAAAACACACATTTTGAACTTCGACTTGCTAGTGTGACAAACTGAAGTAAATCTTTCTCTTTTGTGTTTCTTAGTACTGCTGGCGGTGGACAGGTTTTAACTTCGGCTTTGACCTGCTTGTAACTTACACCAATCGATTCATCATTTTCAAACGTAATACACTGAATCAGCCCTGTAGTGGATCTGTCAGTTTACAACCTCGAAGGAGCGTAGCATTTAGGTATGTTGAGATCGTCCCACCCTATTTCAACTCACTCCCCAAAAATATAAAAAATAAAATCAAACCTTGGTAATTTATACCGACAATAGAACTTTGATAAGATCCAAATATATGAATGTGCAAGGGGACGATGGGGCTCCATTCCTATAATCCTATATAATAAAGAGGTAATATGCAAATTGACCATCACGTCATTGCACAAGATGGCCGTCCCCCTGTGGTCACAAGATGGCCAGCAGGGGAGGGCATTTGGGGGTGACCAGACTTGTAGGGAAGGGCTGTTTGGAGTGACCAGGCCTGCAGGGGCAGGCAGTTAGGGGCAACCTGACCAGCAGGGGAGGGCAATGGTGACAATTGAGCTGGCAGGAGAGAGCAGTTGGGGGCAATTGGGCAGGCACGGGGGCAGTTAGGCATCGATCAGGCTGGCAGGGGAGTATTTAGGGGGTGATCAGGCTGGCAGGCAGGTAGGCGAGCCGCTGGGAGCCAGCAGTCCTGGTTTATGAGAAGGATGCCCAACTGCTGGTTGAGGCCCGATCCCTGTGGGCAGTTAGACATCCCTCAGGGGGTCCCAGGTTGAAGAGGGTGCAGGCTGAGCTGCAGGACACACCCCACTCCACCCCACCTCCACAGTGCACGAATTTTGTGCACTGGGCCTCTAGTATATTAATAATCTAAGTCATAAGATCTAGATCTAGTATGTCAGGGAGAAAGATAGGCTGTAATATGAATGTTAAAGGATTAATACTGGGCTTGATGCTGAAGCTGTTACTTGCTATTCTTAGCAAGTAAAAGGTCCAAACTGGAAATACAGCAAGGTATTTTTTCACGAAAACATGCTTGGTATTATCCTTCACTTTATGTAAGATTTAATATGTCCAATTTTGCCTGATAGTTGAACTGGCAATATTTTTCTGAAGAGGATGCTGACAAATTAGAAAATAGCTAATGAACATTTTTTTTTTAAGTCACTTATTTATACTTAACTTAAATCATACACAAAAATTATCTCAGAATGGAGCAAAGAGCCATAGCTGATTTGGCTCATTGGATAGAACATCCGCCTATGGACTGAAAGGTCCCAAGTTCGGTTTCCGGCCAAGGGCACATGCCCAGGTTGCAGTAGGGGTGTGCAGGCGGCAACCTATCAATGATTCTATCTAATCATTGATGTTTCTACCTCGCTCTTGCTCTCTGAAATCAATTAAAAATATATATATATATTTTTTAAATGGAGCAAAGACCTAAACATAGAACTAAAACTATATAACAACTCTTTGAAGAAAATATTGGGGAAAAGCTTCTTAACATTGGATCTGGCAGTGATTTCTACATTATAACACAAAAATTAAACAATTACCATAAGATCCAGCAATTTTTATTCTGGGTATAGGAGAAAAAAATTGAAAGCAGGGACTTGAACAGATATTTGTACATTCATTTTTTTTTTTAATATATTTTATTGGTTTTGTACAGAGAGGAAGGGAGAGAGATAGAGAGCTAGAAACATCGATGAGAGAGAGTCATCGATCAGCTGCCTCTTGCACACCCCCAACTGGGGATCTGCCCGCAACCAAGGTACATGCCCCTGACCGGAATCGAACCCGGGACCCCTTAGTCCCCAAGCCGACGCTCTATCCACTGAGCCAAACCGGTCCCGGCTGTACATTCATTTTTTAACAGCAGTAGAGGCCTCCAGCCATGCCCCCTGGTCAAACTCCCAGGTGAAATCCCAGTGAAGGGCACAATTTGCAAAACTATGCTTTTATTATGTAGAATTATTCATAATAGCTAAAAGGTAAAAGCAACCTGCTTTTCATTGAGAGATGAACAGATAAACAAAATGTGGCATGGAGTATTATTCAACCTTAAAATGGAAGGGTATGCTGATACATGCTACAACATGAACCTCAAAGACATTATGCTAACTGAAATAAACCAGTCACACAAAAACAAATACTGTACTTATTCATCTCACACAAGGCATCTGGAGTAGACAAGTTCATAGAGACAGAAAGTAAGATAGTTGTTGTCTGGAGCTGGGATTAGGGGGGATGAGGAGCTGATGCTTTCTGAGTACAGAGTTTCAATAGGGCAAATGAAAAAGTTCGGGAGACAGATGGTGGTCTGACTGCAGAACAATATGAATGTATTTTATTGCCAAGAACTGTACACTTAAAAATGGTCAAATTGTAAATTTTATGTATATACTACCAACATAAAAAAGGCACTTATTATTTTATGTGTAATAGCACAAGTTTATAAATCTAAATGGAATCAGTTTATAGTTTGAAAAAACTTTTTAAAGTTTTTTATCAAATAAAGACTTTTAGAGAATATGGAAGACAAAAATAAAGTGAAAGGGGCTTATTTAAATTAGTCTGTGGTTTTAAATAATTGTATATGTGTTTTTTTATTTGTGGTGTGTTGTGTTTTTTTAAATCCTAGATTACGTTTGGCCTCTTTCGATAGTAGTGGGAAACTAATATGTAGTAGAACAACTGGCTATCAAATACTTACACTTGAAAAGGATCAGGTATGTTTGATTACTTTTTTGTTTCATTATAATTATTTGTCTTTTTTGAATCCTTTTAATTAGAATTTAAATATATATATATAGATTTTACCTAATAATAGACAAACATATAAATTGACCATACCTCCGTTAAGCCCACCAGCCAATCAGGAGTGATATGTAAATCAACCCAACAAAGATGGCGGTTAGTTTGCATACACAGATAGCCAAATGACAGGAGTGTGATGACCACGCAGGCTTTTTGCTCCCCCACACCTCCCTCCCCAATCGACCCTCACCCCCATCCTGTCTCTCAGGGCCTCTGGGCAGTGTGGGAAGTGAGGCTGGAGCAGAAAGAGGGGCTGAGCCTGAGTGGAAAGGCAGTGCCAGCAGCCAGGGAAAGGATGGTTCATTCTAGCAGGAATCTTCATGGCATCAGGCTTCTAGTGTGTGTGTGTGTGTGTGTGTGTGTGTGTGTGTGTGTGTGTGTGTGTATTTGTATTGATTTCAAAGAGGAAGGGAGAAATAGAAACCTCAATAATGAGAGAGAATCATCGATTGGCTGCCTCCTGCACGCCCCTATTCGGGATTGAACCTGCGACCCAGGCATGTGCCCTGACTGGAATTGAACCATGACCTCTTGATTAATAGGTCAACACTCAACCACTGAGCCACACCAGCCAAACAGCATAAAATTTCTTTTAAAAAAAAATATATTTTATTGATTTTTTTACAGAGAGGAAGAGAGAGGGATAGAGAGCTAGAAACATCAATGAGAGAGAAACATCGATCAGCTGCCTTCTACACATCCCCCACTGGGGATGTATCCACAACCAAGGTACATGCCCTTGACCAGAATCAGACCTGGGACCTTTCAGTCCACAAGCCAACGCTCTATCCACTGAGCCAAACCGGTTTCGGCCAGAGTAAAAATTATTAGGTAGAATTAACATTTGATTTAAAGGTTTTTGAAGGCAAAGATGTAAGTATCATGTTCTCTTCCATATAGTTTACCCCATTCTACTAGAAGTATTATATAACAAAGACACACACACACAAAAAAATTTGATTTTAAGATACAGGGAATAGCTTTAATAGGGAACTAATTATTTATCCTCAAAGAGTTATGAATCTTAATTGCTTCATTCATTGTCTTCATAAGTGCATTTATTTGTGCAATAGCAAATACTTTTAAGATAATCCAGTTTGTCTCTATATAGTTATTGAATATTAAGAGAACATATCCTCTAGCACAATAGGCTTCTAAAATAACAGACATCTGTAATGTTCCAAGTCTATTTTGAAGAAGTGGCATTAGAAGAAGTTTAAGTTTAAAAAATTTGGCTCTCAAAAGAAATTTTAATTGTTCTACTATTGATGTTTGACTCTCTTGACTAATGAGTTTGCCGACCACTGGACTAGGCCATAGTGGCTAAAGCATTTTAGCACCATCAGCCCAGGTGATTGCCTCACCTGACCCATCATCTTACCCATCTTACTCACTTTCTCTGTTATAAAGAATATAGAGCCGAAACCGGTTTGGCTCAGTGGTAGAGCGTCGGTCTGCGGGCTGAAAGGTCCCGGGTTCGATTCTGGTCAAGGGCATGTACCTTGATTGCGGGCACATCCCCAGTAGGGGGTGTGCAAGAGGCAGCCCATCGATGTTCATCTCTCATCGATGTTTCTAACTCTCTATCCCTCTCTCTTCCTCTCTGTAAAAAATCAATAAAATATATTTTTAAAAATTTAAAAAAGAATATAGAGAAATAGTGCATGAGTGTGTGTGTGAGGCATTTCTGCTCCTTACTTTTTTGTTGTTGTTGTTAATTCTTATCCAAGGATATTTTCCCATTGATTTTTAAAGAGAATGGAAGGGAGAGGGAGAGACAATTGGTTCCTCATACACACACTTGCTAGGGCCAGTGAACCTGCAACCAACCAAAATCGAACTTGGGACCCTTTAGTCCATAGGCCAATTGCTCCATCCAGTGAGCCAAACCAACTAGGAGGGCTCCCTACCTTCTTTATCCAAATGTGTCAAGCTGTTCCCCCAGTAGAAGACTATATTGAACCTATGTATATCATACAGATGTTCCAGTTTCAGTCCTCCTTTATTCCAGGAATACATTCCAGAAGCATCTGCCTTAGTAAAAAATTAAAAACTCTAACAGTGTTGTGTAGCATATTCTCTAAAATGTATAAAATAAGTTGAATCTACTGCATATTATTGCAGAGAATATATCCAAGTATTAAAGAAGTAAAAATTATAATTTCATTACTGCTGCTTGTACTCTAATGACTTATTCTGGTCACCAAGTGCTTTAAAGGGTTCCAAACAAGATACCTGTAGCATGAGTCATGGTTACATGTGTGGTCCTCAGGTGTATTATCAAATCCTGTCTCTCTGGGATTTCCAGACATTCTTATATGTATTGAGGTAACTGAACTTGAAGTTGATTTTACATGGTGCTTTATATTCCAATAGACAAATGACATGTCTGCATTTGAGACAGTGGGAAATCTTAGATAAGAATAGGAACAATGAGCTGAAACCGGTTTGGCTCAGTGGATAGAGCGACAGCCTGCGGACTGAAAGGTCCCGGGTTCGATTCCGGTCAAGGGCATGTACCTTGGTAGCGGGCACATCCCCAGTAGGGAGTGTGCAAGAGGCAGCTGATCAATGATTGTCTCTTATCGATGTTTCTAACTCTCTATCCCTCTTTCTTCCTCTCTGTAAAAAAAATCAATAAAATATATTTAAAAAAAAGAAAAAGAATAAGAACAATGATTGTTGGTAATAATGACTCCTCACCTTCATCCTAATTATTTGCTATATCTAAAAGCCCTCAGAAATTGAAGCCAAATGAGAAATCTACATATATCTGGACTCTGTCCATACAGAAAATATGTAGGTACTTGACAGAAGTTTTTCAACAATGAAAATAACTACTGTCATTGAGCACTTCATAGATGGCTGCTTTGCTAGCCCTCTGTGTGCACTGTCTCATGTAATCCTATGATGTGGGCACTCATTGTCCCCATTTTATAGTGAGGACACTGCAGTTGACAAGGTCAATGATTTGTCCCAAATCACACAGCTAGTGGGTGGGAGTTTTGAGATTTGAGTGGTGACTCTCAGACTGAAGTTGTTTTTTTGTTTTTGTTTTTGTTTTTAATGAAGATGCAAGTTCTTAACTACCGTACTATCTCCTTCAGTTCATTCAGTTTAGCAATTTGGTTTTCTACTTGTTTTTCTAATATTACTATTTACTCGTCATTAAAACAACCAATTTGTTTTTTAGGAACAAGTAGTAATGAACTTGGACAGCAGGCTTCTGATCTTCCCTTTATATATCTGCTGTAACTTCCTGTATATATCACCAGAAAAAAGAACTGAAAGTAGTCATCATCCAGAAAATTCAGAAAACTGAGGACCTTTTCAGTTGGAAATAGTAGCACTGAAAACTTTTCACATCTAAGGTGACTAACAATGACAAAGGCCTTAAGAACTGTACAGATAGAAGACTATTCTCATTCTCATTACATTTCTGTGACTATATTAAAAGCATTTTAAAGACAAGAATATACCTGTCAACCCATTTCTGTTATAAAGATGTCAGCTCATGTTTTTAGCATCAGTAGAAAATCACTTAGGTAAATTTCACATTTCTCTGCAACCAACTATAGATTTAATTTTTAGATTAAACTTTGATCCTACTTAATGTTAATGTACCTCAGTTATCCATCTGTAAATTTTGTCTATAAGAATGCTAAAGGAATAATTTGAAAAGCTAATTGTAAATTCTCTTTCAATTGATGCATTTAAGGCTGTTCTTTAATTTTTTTTAACTGCTCTTTATGATTCCTCCTATTACCCTTCCAATATGTAGCTGTTTTTAATCATTAAATACTTTTTTTCATGGCTTTAGAGACTAAACTGAAGACTTTATTTACCTTAAACATTTTTATGCTATTTTATTTTGCTTTTAATTTAGCTTTTCTAGAATTTTAACAACAAAAGAATCAGCTTCAGACTTGCAAATGACTGGAATTGGGGGGGAGGGAATCAATGTGACTTTTAATATATTCTTTTGCCTTACATGGTCTTTTTTTTTTTTTTTTTTTTTACATTTTGTACAAGTTTATTATTAGCTCATAAGATTATTTATGTACCAAATATTACACTCTAAATATTTTCATAACTTCTGATCTTTAGAATTATTTATGTTCAAATTTTAGTTGGGAATCTTGTTTCCTACGTAAGCTCAGGACTTTATAACCTCTGAATTGAGTGCCTTTGAGTTACACATGCTAATAGTTTCATAGTAAATATAAATAAGGTTGGAAGATGTCATATAGAAGCTGGTAATAAAGCATTAATGTAAAAATATATCTTATTTTTGTCAAAAATGAGATGTACACTTGTCGTGATTTATATGTGTTGGCTTCTTGTATTTACTGCTGTTTTGAAAATACCCATGCTCATGGTCTTTACAGAGTGAATTCTTCTTATGGTTAATGTATATTTTTAGTATGTTTAAAAAATGGGAATCACTTTTATATATCTGTACAAATAATAAATACCCATTTGGAAAATGAATAAGTTCTTACATGAAATGGACAAAAACAAACCTTAGTTGAAACCAGAATTTTTTAAAGTTAGATATTTTCCAATTAGATTTAACTTTTAGAATTTATGGATAGTTTTTCTTCCCCAGTAATATGTCCATAAATTTGCAAATTGCTTTTGGCTTTTCAAAATTAATCCTCCAGATTAATTTAAAGGAGACTTTAAATGCCTCCCCTTCCTCTGCCCCCAGAACTGCAGTTTAAATGTTCTAATACAATAATTTGGCTGCATCAAGAGGCTATATTTCTTATTCTCTTATTTGCTATAATTATATTTTATAAGATGCCTTTGAATTTTTTAACATATCAGAGATTCTTTACCCTTTATATATTAAAAAATGGAAATACCAATCTTGAAGTTTTTTTAATAATTGAATTTTTACAAATCTTGGGAGTAAACATAATTAAGGTTTTGAGTATCTTAGTGAATCAAATTAGCTATTTTGTTGCACTTATATAAATCAAATTGGAATTATATATGATTCTCTCTTTTTTTTAATTATATATGGTTCTTGCGTATTGGTTCTTTCCTGACCAAATTGCTTGTGTCATCCACTAAATAATTACTTTAGTCACAAGAAGGTTGTGCTCTCATTTGAGAAACTGGGAATTGTTTTCATACTGATAGTAAAGACCTTCTTTTGTTTTCTGACCCAATACTTTAATGTTTGCATACTTTTTACTCTTTTTTTAAAAAAATATATATTTTTTATTGAGTTTTTGCAGAGAGGAAGGGAGAGAGATAGAGAGCTAAAAACATTGATGAGAGAGAAACATCAACCAGCTGCCTCCTAAACAACCCCCACTGAGGATGTGCCGGCAACCAATGTACATACCCTTGACCAGAATCGAACATGGGACCCTTCAATCCGCAGACCAACGCTCTATTCACTGAGCCAAACCAGCTTCAGCATTTTTACTCTTCAATAGGAATCTATCAGCTGACATCATATAAACTACTATATGTAAAAGCCATTGCCTTAAACTAGGGGTGTCGAACTCAATCAGAGAAGGGGCCAAAATCTAAAATCCAGCCTAAATCGCGGGCCGAATGGTTTACTGAACAGTCATAAACTGTCATTGTGATGGAAACGCAGCGGAGTGCAGTGATGACAGCGTGGTGCGGGCCACATTGCAAGGCCTGGCGGGACGGATTTGGCCCGCGGGCCTTGTGTTTCACACATGTGCCTTAAACCCTTTGCAAAGTCTTTTAACATGCAATGAATAGAAAAAAATACCCAGTAATAATTATTTTTGTTTAACTATCAATAAAGAAAAGTTCCCGAAGAAAAATGTTCTAGAGTCACATGCTACAGTATTAAAGAGGGATATGAATGTACCTTTCCTTTAAAATATACATAAATACATATATTTGGCTTGAAATTTAACAAGCCAAAATTAAATGAACAGTGCTAGTTACTAGCTTTTTAAATGTTACTTATTTTAAATTGATTTCAGAGAGAAAAGGAAAGGAGAAGAGAGAAACAGTGATAAGAGAATTGTTGATTGGCTGCTTCCTTCATGCCCCTTACTGGGGATTGAGCCCACAAGTTGGGCATGTGCCCCTGTCCAGGAACTTTCAGTCCACAGACTGACCCTCTATCCACTGATCAAAACAGGCTAAGGCTAGTTACTAACTTTTTTACCAAGTGTTTAACAGCCAACATTTTATTGGATTTCAAGCCTTTGAATACTATTACCATCATTAATGAACAATTCATGACATCACATGCAAAAATAAGGTTATCAAGACTCACTGTGGGTATCTAAATTTGAGTTCATTAAAATTTACTTTCTCAGAGTAAGCACATTGCAAGTGCTTAGGAATCACACATAACCACTGGCTACCATATGGGACAGTGTACCGTAGATAGAATATGCCCACCATTGCAGAAGGCCTATCAAATAGATTTGGTATATCGGACTGTCAATATTAAAACTATGCCAAAGGTTTTATTCCCTTAAAGGTGAACCCATGTAAAGATAATAGAGCCAGAGTACAAATTAGGTGATGATTTGCCAATCACCTAGAATGATAGATTCAGTCATATTTCAAGCAATGTGGATCTAATAGCTTTGATGGCATTAAAACAAAACAAAAAAAACTGTAGTACAGTTCCTTCTCCAACCAGAGCCTGAAATTCTTCCCAAGGTTCAGGGTACAGGTGTAAAAAAGCCAGGTCTCCAACAACAACAATCACTGTTAACTAGTGGTCAGACTACATCTAACTAGGGGAAATTACTGACTCAATAGCAGGCATCCATATAGAATGGTAAAGTAGGATACTTTTATAAAGGATTATCTGAAACAGGACTCAAAACAAAATTTAACCCAGGCTAGATAGTACATTTGCAGAGAATCACAGATGATTCATGTTGGTTCTTACGTAAGGTACACACAATTTAAATACAGTTTGGCTTTAAATACTGAGGACATCTGGTTGGTTGGGGAAGAAACACAAATACGATCACAAGTGTTGACCTCCCCACTCAAATTCTATCCCAATGGCTTCAAATGAGGTGACTTCAAACCATGGATTGGAAATATACAGGATTTTCTTCCTGGTACAATGCTGAAGATTAACACTGCTGGGTATGTACAGAACATCCTAAGAGAGGGCGACTTGATTATAGTAAATAGGAAAGTCCTGGCAGAACCCACTTTCTATCCCACATCTTAAAGGGGAGGAGCCATTTAGTCCCTGAGATTGATCCCCTTTATAGAATTTAATCCTTCGGTGTTTTGTTTTGTTTTTCCTTTTTATTCTTTACTTTTTCCCTCTATACTGACTATTCACACCAATATTTATTTGGGTATAAGATTCTCCCATCTTTGAGAAACTGTCAGTGACACATTTACCTCTACCATGATTTGCCCAACATCATCAAACTCCCTCCCTCCCTCTCTCTCTCTCTCTCCCTCCCTCCCTTTCTGAAATAAAAATGGTTTTTCATTTATTGTTGTTTAAATTTATTTTGTTTTTTTTACGGAGAGGAAGGGAGAGATAGTTAGAAACATCAATGAGACAGAAACATCTATCAGCTGCCTCCTGCACACTCCCCACTGGGGATGTGCCTGCAACCAAGGTATATGCTCTTTTCCGGAATCGAACCTGGGACCCTTCAGTCCGCAGGCCTACGCTCTATCCACTGAACAAAGCCGGTTAGGGCTAAAAAAATATATATATATATATATATATAATTTTTTTTTAGAAAAATACTTTTTAAAGAAACATTTTTCGCATTTAACAAGAACTGCGAAGATAAATGGTGGTAGGGGGAATGAAAACTGAGTTTGGGTGGTAAGTATACGGGTTTTTTTGTGTGTGTTTTTCAGATTTCTATAACAACATAAACTGGCACACTTTCATGTCCACCGTGAAACAAAAGCCTCGGCTAAAATGGGGCTGGAGGGGCGGAAGTAACAACTTGGTCCCACCCACATCTCCCCGCTCCATTGGGCCCCTGGAGTCTGGGCGGGCTTTGCGCAGCCGCACTTCTCCATACGCCGGAACCTTTGCGAGTCGTTGTATCGTTTTCCAGCCGGCAGTGAAAGCGCACTTCCGGCCCTCACGGAAGTTGCTGCGCGGTCGTTTCCGAGGCGGAGTGAGGTAGAGAAGCCTTCCTAATGGATCGCAGCCGCAGCCCGAGCCCCAGCCGCAGCCGCAGCGGTAGCCGCAGCCGCAGCGGCAGCCGCAGCCGCAGCCGCTCCCGCTCCCCGCAGAGGGGTGAGTTAGAAGCTGTTTGGAGGGGCTGGGGCTGGGTTAGAGGCGCATCTATCCCCCCTTATTTCCTCTGCGAGCGCAACGGAGAGGCAGGCCCTCTACGCCTGAGGAGCGGGACGGGGGTGGGGGGAGGGGAGGGGGAACGAACACCTCCGCCCTCCGGTTCCAAAGTAGGCTTTTTCCCCTTCTAAACTGAAGCTTCGTTCAGCTTCCAGTAGTAAATTTTTTTATTTTAATTGTTGTGACCGGGCAATTTAGAATCAGACCGCGGTTCCTTCGTTTAATTTCTAAGGTGGCCATTTGCAGTCATCCAACCTTTCTGAGTCCTAATTCCCGGAATTAGGCAGTGGGGGCAATGTTACCTAGCTTTAAAAACCGATGTGAGAATTAATGGCACCTTCCATAACTACTCAGCATGTCATAACCGCCTGTAACGTGAATGCTCAAGGTTCGGTTCTCTTCCAGCTTATTATAATAGGGAAATGTATATTTTTTAAAAATATGTTTTTGTCGATTTTATTTTTTAATTTTTGACATTGATTTGAGAGAGAAAGTAAGGGAGAAGGAGAAACATGTATTTGCTGCCTCCTGCACACACCCTTCAGCTCCTTATTCCAAAGTGGAATTGAACCAGCAAACCCTTGGTGCATGGGGTGACTCTGGACCAACTAAGCCCCACAGGCCAGGTCTGTTTTTATGGATTTTAGAGAGAGAGGAAAGGAGAGGGTGAGAGAAAAAGCGATTGGCTGCCTCCTTCATGGGATGGAGCCCACAACCTGGAATTGAGTCAGTGACCTCTTGATGCGTGGGACAGTGTTCAACCAACTGAGCCACACCGGCCAGGGTTGGACATTCATATTTAGAATTTTCCATCCAGAAAAATCACCTCTTAAGGACTCCTGATCCCCATCCCCCATACCCTGACTTAAACCCTCGTTTCTGCCCCTGATTGGTTTTTACCACCTTCAACTTGTTAAGAGGTGATTTTCTTAAAAGTTAAATGAGGCCAGGATCCACATTTGGCTATTGAGGATCCCAGTCAGAATAAAGATGTGCCCAATCAGGATTAAGAAATGCTGTTTAGCCCCAGCTGGTTTGGCTCAATGGATAGAGCGCAGGACTGAAGGGTCCCAAGTTTGATTCTGGTAAAAGGAACATGCCCGGGTTGTGGGCTAGATTCCCAGTAGGGGGCGTGCAGGAGGCAGCCAATCAGTGGTTCTCATCATTGATGTTTCTATCTCCCTCTCCCTTCCTCTCTGAAATCAATAAAAATATTTTTTAAAAGTGCTATTTAATTGTAGGGTATACACTGGGTTTCCTTGATATAGTACAGAGAAATCTAAAAATGTCAATTTTTTTATATTGAGTACTTGTTGAAATGATAATAGTTTGGAAGTATATATATTTAGTCAAAAACATTCTGTTAAAATTAATTTTCACCTGCTTTTTACTTCTTTAATGTGACTACTATAATGGCTTGCATTATATTCCTATGAGACAACCCAGCACCAAATATCTGAGGTAATTTTTGGCTCTGCAACTTTGTTCCTTGTGGTAGAGCCAGAACAGAAGCGGTCCCCGTCTGCTTCTCCCGAGAAAGAGCAGAAGAGTGGGGACAAGTCTCCGGCCGGGGAGGGAGAGCCGAGGAGCCGCTCTGGGTCTCCGCCCCAAAGACGCTCCAGGTAAGTGGGGATCGTCGGCAGAGGTTTTACCACAAAGCCCAAAGAAACTAGTTGTTGCCCTTTACTTTGTTTTTCTCACTTATACGGCCATTTACAATGCCATGAAATGAGGGGGATTTAAACCCATCTTATTCTAACCCTAACATTTCCATGGGTGAAAGGGGTTAATAAGTCTCTACTCCTAGAGTTGCCTTTAGGAGTAAAAGAGAAATAATACCAGAAAAGAACTTAACATGATGCTTAGCAAGAATAAGAAATAAGTGTTTCGTTTTTGACTTTTTGGTGATAAAGATTTATTCAAGTATATCATAAAAAATGTGAGATCTTGGAAGTACCTTAGAATGGACTCTTGATTTCCTGTTAAGCATCTATTGCTGTTTAAATCAACTTTTTGTGTTTATGTCCAATTGTTAGAAACTCTTTAGTTACATTTTTCTGCCTTGCAGAACATTTTTTAGCCCTAGCTGTACTGAGCAAGACTGTATTTTTGTTTCTTTGTTAACAGTCGGGCGAGGCAGAACCTTGGGCGAGGCAGAACCTTCTCACTTACTCTTCCGTAGGAAATGGGCTCGTGGTTCTCTGCAGCCCAGCTTTTGTTCAGCCTTTACCTTCCAGGCACTCAGGCATTTCCGTGCTGATTGACACAGTGGCCAGCTATGTCTGTTTCTGACATGTTTACTTATTAAATATTAGATCCCCAAGACGTCCTAGATCCACTTCTCGTTCTCCTTCTCGACCGAAAGAAAGGAAAGATGAAGAAAAGAAAGAAACAAAGAGCAAAGAAGGTCAGATAACTGTTATTACAATAGATAAATAACTGTAGCAAGAGTGCAGTCTTGTTTGGATAACTTCAGGCGTGATAACATTATGAAAGTATCAGGTTGTTGATTTTGTTTTAATTGTATCTTGGAGAGTTCCTGGTTATCTATGGTGCTCCTGATGTAGGAGGGTCATGTGAGCATCTTTTATTTTGGAAGCACCTTCAAAACAAGTGTCATGCCTGATATGAAAGGTGGTGCTGCCTAAAGCTTCAGCATGTCCTTTTAAGCAGTTTCCTCTGTTGGAAGGTTGAGAGCACTCTCCTTCCTTGCACCTCAAGTTACATTCTGCCCAAATTGAAGAGAAGTTTTTTCTGTTAGACTCAAGTCTTTACCTAATTGTTTTGTATGTTTCTGCTGGTAAAGTGGAATGACTATTAATCTAGTCCCACCATTCCTTTAATATATAAAATGGTAGTTTTAAAAATTACTGTATCTCTTATTTTTGCAGAGGAAGATGTAGAGGGCCAAACAGAAGAAGAAATAGAAATGATGAAGGTAATGGGATTTTCCGCCTTTGATTCAACAAAAGTAAGTAAAACTCGAAGCTAATTAAGCATTCTGATTTGAATTAATCCATTATGACTGTCCCATTTTTCCAATTTTTTCCCCCCTAATTCAGTTAAAAGACTGTGTGAAGGGGTTTGAGAGTACAGAGAAGGAAGCAGTGAGGTACCCTGGAATTCAGAGAGTGTTCGTCTGGAATGATGTCCAGTTAGATCTTAAAGGGCCAGTACAAAAAAGAGAAGAAAGAGCATTTGAGGTAGAAGGGGTTCATGAAAATGCCATGTAGACATGAAGTAGCATAGTGTATTGTGGGAATTTCAGATTCAGTGACTGTTTAAAAGCTGCTGATGGACCACTGACTACATTGAGGCTGGAAATAGGGGTAGGAAGCAAATCATGACAGACTTTTGCTGCCCTGGCCACGCTAAGGAATTTAGAGTTGATACTTTGGATGGTGAGAGATAGCAAAGATTAAAAACAAAACGGGTGTTTGGATTACATGTGTGTTTTAGACAAGACCTAGGGCAGCCTTGGAGCACAGATGGGAGGCATTTGATTGGAGGCAGGGAGAACTGCTGAGTCATGCAAGTGAAAGATGATGAAGACATGAACTGAGAGGAGGATCTGGAATATTGAGAACCATTCAGGAGCCAAAGTTGGTGGTAGTGGGAGTGAGCAGTCAGTGATGATTGAGGTGACAGGCTGAAAGACTGGGTGGTAGGGTTAACCAAGAAAGGATAATGGGAAGAGGAAGTGCTGTGAAACAGAAGAAAAGTCAGCTGCTAGATAAAGATGACATTGGATAGCTGCACACATATCTCATAGCTCAAAGGGTTGAATGCTCTAATACTGGAAAGAATAAGGAAAAGGAGGAGGAAAAAGGGAGGGATGGTGGACACGGAGCTGAAGTCAGGGATTATAGGGAGGGGGTGGGGGAGAGTGGAGGAATAGGGAGAGGTAAAGAGAAATAAGGGAAAGAAGTGTTGGAGAAGGGAAAGGGATAGGAGGAGGACGATTGAGGGAGCTAATAAGGATAGACAGGGAAAGCATATGTGGAGAGAGAATATATTTTTTAAACTTCCTTTTATATCTTTAATTTTATAAATGGAAATTGAGAATATTGAGAAAAATAGTGAGTTGTGAAAGGTATGGGGTGATTTCACTTGCTATAGGAGTTTCTAACTGATGTGATTGTGTAGGGCTCACATTTGAATGTTTTGTGTGTGTGTGTTTTACTATTTTTTAAATTTTTTTTATTAATCCTTACCGGAGGATTTTTTTCCCCATTGATTTTTAGAGAGAGAGGAAGGAAGGGGAGAGGCCCCCACCAGGGTCACGGATTAAACATGCAACCTAGGTTTGTTTGGAATCAAATCCAAGACCCTTCAGTCCATAGGCTGACGTTCTATCAACTGGGCCAACCCCCCATGCCTGTGGTCGGCAAACTTCAGCTTGCAAGCCACAGGCGACTCTTTGGCCCCTTGAGTGTGGCTCTTCCACAGAATACCACGGCCTGAGCGAATCTATTTTGAAGAAGTGGTGCTAGAAGTTTAAGTTTAAAAAGAAATTTTCAATCATTGTACTGTTGATATTTGGCCCTGGGGCATGTATGTATGTTTTAAATGACAATGTATAAACTAAGGAGTACTGAGGCATGACTGTTTGAAGTGAAAAATTTAAGGCATGCTGGAGTGGCTCAGTGGGCGTCCACCTCTGCACTCAACTGTTGCTGTTTTGATTCTGGTCAGGATGCAGGCTGGGTCACAGGTATCTTTCTGGAGTGCAGAAAGCAGCTGATCAGTAACCTGCTGGAGCATTAATGTTTATATCTTCTTGCTTCCTCACTCTCTAAAAATAGACTATCCTTTTAAAAAGTACATAAACTATGAATGAATATTGTTTTGAATATTGTATTTGTTTACATGTGATTATAAAAAAAGTGAACAGAGTTTTAATACTTGGGAGCTCATGGAATATTATCAGCATCTGAAAATTCTTGCTCTCGTTGGGCTACCTCATTCTTAGATGGATCTTGTCATGTAAGCCTGTCTGTAAGATCCGGTTCTTTTGATCAAGGCATTTAATGTATCCTTCCTGTTCTTATAATTTGTTTATTGCTTTTCTCCAGGGAAAAAGGTTGGATGGCTGTGTAAATGCCTATGCCGTAAATATATCTCAGAAATTCAGGTATGCATAATCCCCATTTCTATGTTTGTTTTGTTTTGTTTTTTAATATATTTTATTAATTTTTTACAGAGAGGAAGGGAGAGGTATAGAGAGTTAGAAATATTGATAAGAGAGAGACATCGATCAGCTGCCTCCTGCACACCCCCTACTGGGATGTGCCCGCAACCAAGGTACATGCCCTTAACCGGAATGGAACTGGGACCTTCCAGTCCACAGGCCGATGCTCTATCCACTGAGCCAAACCGGTTTTGGCCCCATTTCTATGTTTCAACCAATGATATAAATTATGTGCTTTGGAAAAAATTTGTTATGGGATAATTATATATTTGTAAGAAGTATAGCGATTTTCCATACATTCCCTTGTTTTAATTTTCCTTGCTTATGTTCTGGCTTTTAATTTCCAATTTATAGGTAAACTAATAGCTATTATAGAAAAGGATAGTTGGCTTAAATGGTTTAGAACTGTATAGATAGTTCTTCAAAACGTCGGTTTTAAAAAGTCTTTATAATTTATTTTTATTATAATTATAGATTTTTCTTTCTTTAAATCTTGTTTTTACTGATTTTAGAGAGAGAGAAGAGGAAAAGAGAAGAGAGAGAGAGAGAGAAGCACGAGAGAGAAACAATAGGCGGTATCGCTCACGCACCCCGACCAGGGACCGATACCGCAGCTCAAGCATGCGCCACGACCGAGATTCATACCGGAGACACCACAGTTCACGGGACTACGAGCCACACCGGCCAAGGCTAAAATTATAGATGTAAAATATATCTCTTCTAAATTACTCTCCTAGTTGATTGTGCAAGGATTTTAACTGTAAATACATTATCTTGTTAAGTGGAAACATTTTATTAATACCACAGGTCAAACCAATTCATACTTAAAATCTTACTGAATTCCTAATGAATTGGAAAGTCAGGAAAACATCTTCAAATATTGTCTTTCTCTCTACCTTTATCACTAATAAAAGACTTAACATTCCAATTAATTTAGAATATGAATAATGTGATTTGAGAATGCTGGTGAGTTAAGGAACCAGTCATCATTGACATTTCCTTTGTAAAGTTACCTTCAAATAAAGTGTTCTGGAGAACACCAGTAGAGTATGTAGTCAAGAGTTTTCTATACTTCTATTTGGATTTTACAGTAGTCTAAAATGCTTTTGCTTATTTTGAAAGTGAATAATACCATCTTACTACACATTAAATAATCTTGAATACTTCTTACCCTATACTTTGCCATCTTAAAGGTGATTCAGGCGTAATCTCTGAGTCATGTGATCATTATTTTTATTTTTTGAAGAGCAAGAGACATGTATTTGTTGTTCCACTTAAATCATTAATTGATTCTTTGTGCACTGAGGATCAAACCCTCAACGTTGGCATTTGGGGACGATGCTCGAACCAACTGAGCTACCCGACCAGGGCCATGATGATTTTTTCTAAAGAGGAGTCCAGAATTTTTTGTAAAATAAACATTGAACTTTCTCTTCTTGTCATAGGCAGGACTTGAATGGCAAAGGTGGATTCAACAGACCTTTGGATTTCGTTGCGTGAGAATTGAAATGTCGAAGAATGGTTGTTTTTTCCTTCATCTTGATCAGAAGAGTGGGTTTTGTTTTTTTGTATTTCATTGCATCAAAACAGGATCACAGTCCTTCTTTGTGTAAAGTAAGAAAATTTTACCTATGGTGTGTGTAGTTCGCTTACCTTGCCTCAAAAGAAGAAATGTTAAAGATTCATTTATTTCTTTTAGGAAGTATCATTTGGGGCAATCATCAACCCCATTTTTTTTTTGTTTTGTTTTTATTCCTGTGGAAACTGTATATGTTTTCTTCTTGGGTGCTTGATAGGACTTCTTAAAACACGTAGATGTAATTTGGATGTAAGCTTCTCAAATAAAGCGATATTTCTACCCTTTCGTATTTTATAATACCATATTGTATTACTATATGAAAGTATTTCTCTATACATTTTCTTTTTTCATACATAGATTTAGATATCATGATTCTTAGTTAAAAAATTAGAAGAATGAAAAAACAACTGGAATTTTGTATCTTAGTTTTTTACCTCAATATCATTTATTACTTTACCCCCATTTTTATGTGTTTTTACTGATTTCAAAAAGGGAGAGAGAAAAACATTAATGATGAGAGAGAATCGATTGGCTGGTTCCTGCACACACCACACTGGAGATAACCCCTGACCAGGTATTGAACCGTTATCTCCTGGTTTATAGGTCAACATTACTGAGCCATGTTGACAGGGCTTTTCCCCCTGTTTTAAAAGCAATACATGCTTATTAAAAATAACGGGAGAAACCAAACAGTAAAAGAAAAGCCAAAATCACCTATATGTATCTCGCCAGGATCCTATGGATGTATATTTCCTACTCCCAACCATGAGATCAGAATGCAGTACTCTCGCTAATTCTTTTTTGCCCGTGTGCTATGAATATCTTTTTAATATTCTTACATATTCTTTGCAAACAGCTTTTAGGAGGTAATTCTAATTGTACCATAATTTTTTAATTAACCATTTACTTGGTGAACATTGACTTCTCTCCCATGATTTGCTGTGAGTAGTATCCCTGTCACACATACCTTTTCGAACTTGTTGCATTATTTTTTCAAGTTCGGTTCTTAGATGTAAAATAAAGGGGTGTGGGTGCATGTTTTAAGGATTTGGATACATGTAAATGGCTAGGAAGATAACAACTGACCAGTATAGTATGAGCCATCCCATTTTATACACCACCAGTATTGTGCAGAATTTATTTAGTTAGTTTTTTAGTGTGTTTTATTTATTTATTAGAAAGATTAGAAGGGAAGAGAAAGAGAAACGTTGATGAGAGAGTGAAACCTGGATCAGCTGCCTCCTGCACACCTCCTACTGGGAATTGAGCTCAGCATGTGCCCTGACTGGGAATCGAACCAGCCACCTTTTGGTTGCTAGAGATGACGTCCAAATAATATACCAAGACTCACTGTGGGTATCTAAATTTGAGTTCATTAAAATAAAATTTACTTTCTCAGTCACATTGCAAGTGCTTAGGAATCACACACAACCACTGACTTCCATATAGGACAGTGCAGATAGAATATGCCCATCATTGCAGAAAGGCCTATCAAATAGATTTGGTCTAGAATATCAGACTGTCAATATAAAACTATGCCAAAGGTTTTATTCCCTTAAAGGTGAACCCATGTAAAGATAATAGAGCCAGAGTACAAATTAGGTGGTGATTTGCCAGTCACCTAAAATGATATATAGATTCAGTCATATTTCAAGCAATGTGGATCTAATCGCTTGATGGAATTTAAAAGAAAAAAAAAAAAGCATAATAAAGTTCCCTCCCCAATTAGAGCCTGAAATTCTTCCCAAGGTTTAGGGTACAGGTGTAAAAAAGCCAAGTCTCCAACAACAGTCACTGTTAAAGAGTGGTCAGACTACATCTATTGATAACTAGGGGAAATTACTGAATAGCAGGCATCCATATGGAATGGTAAAGTACCATATTTTCCGGCGTATAAGACGACCTTTGAAACGGACAAAAAAGCCTGCTCAGATTGGCCAGAGTCAGAGAGGTGGTCTATTGGAAAAAGAACTGGTGTTGCCTCGGAAGTGGGGGGTAGTCTTATACAGCAAATATAGACCTAAACCTATGTTTTAACTGTAAAATTAGGGGGTCTTATACGCCCGGTCATCTTATACACCGGAATATACGGTAGGATACTTTTGTAAAGGATTATCTGAAACAGGACTGCAAAGGTAAAACAAAATTTAACAAGGCTAGAGATAGTACATTTGCAGAGAATCACAGATGGTTCATGTTGGTTCTTACATAAGGTACACACTTTTTTTATTTTTTATTTTTTTATTTTAAAATATATTTTATTGATTTTTCACAGAGAGGAAGGGAGAGAGAGAGCTAGAAACGTCGATGAGAGAGAAACCTCGACCAGCTGCCTCTTGCACACCCTCTACTGGGGATGTGCCCGCAACCAATGTACATGCCCTTGACCGGAATCGAACCTGGGACCTTTCAGTCCGCAGACCAATGCTCTACCACTGAGCTAAACCGGTTTCGGCGGTACACACAATTTAAATACAATTTGGCTTTAAATACAGGACATCTGGTTGGTTGGGGAAGAATCACAAATATCACAAGTGTTTACCTCCCCACTCAAATTCTATCCCAATGGCCTTAGAATGAGAGAACTTCAAGCCATGAGTTGGAAATATACAGGATTTTCTTCCAGGTACAATGCTGAAGACACTGCTGGATAATGTACAGAACATCCTTAGGGCAACTTGATCAGTAGATAGGAAAGTCCTGGCAGAACCCACTTTCCATCCCACATCTTAAAGGGGAGGAGCTAAGGTTCCTTTACAGAGCTTAATCCTTTGGTTTTTGCCTTTCTTTACTCCTCTATACTGATTCACACCAGTATTTCAAAGATTCTCTCATCTTTGAGAAACCCTCAGTGACACATTTACCTCTACCCATTATATGATTTGCCAACACCACCAAACTCCAAAGGGTTCTCCAAATTCACTTAAAAAGCCATGGACAACTCCACTAAAACTTCCTGAGTCAACAATGACTTTTTCTGCAATCTGTTACAGTCTCCATGTGTTTGGATTTTTTTTATCACTTCTTTTAACGTTTAAAACTACCTCTTTGTTCTCCTTTTAAAAAGCAGCCTTCTCTCAAACTCTGATATCACACTCACCCCGTTTTCCTCCTGTTTTTCTGGTCATTTCTTAGTCTTTGTGGGTTCTTCCTCTGGCTGTCTCCAGACCCTTTCCCTGAGCTTGCACCAGGTGGGTGATTCCATGCACTGGGCTTCAATTGAACATCTGTATTCCTACTTCTGTGGTTCCAGCATAGATCTTTCTTCTGAGTTCCAGAAATACATCTAGTTGGCATCTCCCCTTGGGTGTTCAAGATGGCACCTCAGTTTACCTTGTCCTGACCTGAAGGTATCTTCTTTCTCCAGATTTGATCCTACATGACTTAGCAAATGATGCTACCATCTACCTAGTTCCACAAACCTGAAACCTGGATGTCTGTCTTGAATCTTCTAATTCCCTCATCCTCTGCATCTAAACATCAGTTATCCTAGTTTCACCAACTTTATCAAGTTTAAGCACATTCCACCAAACCTGACAGTATTCTACTACCCGCCACTGTAATTTTCTGTCTAGATTATTGTACCAGCCTCCTATTCTATTCCCCCGAGTGAAGCCTCCACATTACTCAAAAGTGTTTTCTGAATAAGTTCAACCTAATTCCCTCTCATCCTTTGTCTCAGGATAGCTGCCATAGTTTACAAGTCTATTCTTGCCCTGTCCTTAGATGTCAGCTCCTTGTTCCCCGAGTGGCTTCCATACTTTTAGTTCTCTGCACAGCCCAGGCTATTCTCACATTTGTAACCTTGACAACCTCTTCCATCTTTTACCACAACAAGCGTCACCCCATTTCACCTAGCTAATTTGTACTCATCCTTAAGGTCTTGTTTGGACATCCTTTCATTCTGGAAATTTCTCTTAACAACCCTCCCCTTCAAAACCAGTTAGGTACCAGTCTATGTGCCCTCATAATGTTCTTCCCCATCAATGCACTTTCACACTGTTTACTAGTTTGTATCTCTCAGTGGCCAGCAGTCTACTCAAGAGCAGGCATGCCTTTTTCACTAATCCTCTGGCACCCAGGTGTGAATAATTGTATTACTTGTGCTTTTTTATTTTCTCATGTTTTGACACCTGGGGCCTTGGGAGAGTGCCTTTCAATTGGCAGCCTACATCCTCCAACCACCTTCTTTACCAAACTTTCACAAGCCAGGCAACATTCCTCTGCCCTAAGGACTCCAGGGCCAGGAGCCAAACAAATCTGCACAGGCCCTACATCCAGAAATCGGCTGAAATTATACAGATTCGCCAATCACAAGTAACCTGATTATCCTGCCTCTCCCATTCCTTCCTGCAAAAAGCACAATCATTGTCTCTTATCCATGCTTTTCCCTGGCTTCTTCTGCCTCTTGACCCACCCTGGTGCTTCCTGGTGTGGACTTAAAACTGCTTGCAGTTTAGAATTTATTTGATATGAAAAATCTTGTGCATTTAACAAGAACTACCAAGATAAGTGGTGGGGGGATGAAAACTGTTAGGATGGTGGGATATGGGTTTTTTAAGATTTCTATAACATCAACTAGCACACCTTAATAATGCCCATGAAACAAAAGCCTCAGCGAAAATGGAGCTGGAGGAGCGGAAGTAATAACGGTCCTCAGCTGCATCTCCCCGCGCTCCAGGGGCCCTGGATTCTGGGCTGGCTTTGCGCAGCCGCACTTCGCTAGACGCGGAACCCTTGTGAGTGGTTTCCAGGTTTTCCAGCCGGCAGTGAAGGCGCACTTCCGGCCCTCACGGAAGTTGTTGCGCGGTCGTTTCCGAGGCGGTGTGAGGGAGAGGAGCGCTCCAGATGGGTCGCAGTCGCTCCCGATCTCCGCGGAGGGGTGAGTTGGAAGCAGTTTGGAGGGTCTGGGGCTCGGCTAGAGGCGCTTCCTGTCCCCGCTTATTTTCTGTGCGAGCGCCACGGAGAGGGAGGACAAACCCTGTCTGTGTGGATGGGGGAACGAAGAACTCCGCCCTTCGGTTCCAAAGTTGGTTTTTTTCCCCCTTCTAAGTTGGCGTTTCGCTCATTATCAGCCTCCAATAGTAACTTTTGTAATTCTTGTGCCTGGTAAGTTACAATCAGACCACGGGTTTTTTCACTTAATTTCTGGGTGACCGTGTGTAAATCATCCAACCTTTGAGTCCGAATTCCCATAGACAGACATTGGGGGTAATATTACCTACCTTTAAAAACTGATGTGAGAATTAATGGCACCTTCCATAGCACTCAGCCTGTTATACTGCCTGTGTCTTACATGCTCCATGTAGTTTCTTCAGTTTATTATAATAAGGAATCTTGTATCCTGAGAGCTCACCGCCTAAGGTCTCCTGATCCGACACCCCCCCCCCCCCCCCCCCATACTCTAACTTGGACCCTCGGTTCTGCCCCTGATTGGTTTTACCACCTTCAACTTGTCAAGACGTGATTTTCTTAAAAGTTAAACGAGGCCGGAATCCACATATAGCTGTTGAGGAGGATCCCAATCAGAATAAAGATGTGTCTTATCAGGATTAAGACGTGCTGTTTAATTGAAGGTTATACACCGGCTGCCTTGATTCAGTACGGGAAAAGTAACATAATCTCAATACTTTTTTATATTGAGTACTTTTTGAAATGATAATAGTTTGGAAGTACCGTGTTTCCCCGAAAATAAGACATTCTCCGAAAATAAGACCTAGCGCATGGAAAGATAAGACATCCCCTGAAAATAAGACCTAGCAACTTTGGGAGAAAAAATTAATATAAGATACTGTCTTATTTTCGGGGAAACAGGGTATATATATTTAGTCAGATAACTTCTGTTAAAATTTATTTCACCTGCTTTTTATATTTTTTAATGTGACAGCTAGAAATGGCTTGCATTATATTCCTATTAGACAATCCAGTTCTAAATATTTGAGGTAATTTTTGGCTCTGCAATTTTGTTCCTTGTGTTAGAACGTAGGCGGTCCCGGTCCACTTCGCGGGAGAGAGAACGCAGGCGCCGGGAAAGGTCTCGGTCCAGGGAGAGAGATCGGAGAAGGAGCCGCTCTCGATCCCCGCACAGAAGACGCTCCAGGTAAGTGGGGATCGTTGGCAGAGGTTTTACCACAAGTCCCAAAGAAACTAGCTGTTGCCCTTTACTTTGTTTTTATCACTTATAAGGCCATTTACAACAAGTATGTCAAACTCAAAGGCTAACACGGGCCAAATAAACAAGGTTTAAGTTTATGGAGTGCAAAAAAACAAAAGCTTCAATTTTCATAGAAATGTAGGTTTATTTCGATAGAGACATGCTAAATACAAAGAGCTGAAATAAATGAGTAATTGTTAACAAAATAATAGAACATTTTATTTTTATTTTAAAAATATATTTTATTGATTTTTTTTCACAGAAAGGGTGAGGGATAGAGATTTAGAAACATCCATGAGAGACAAACATGGATCAGCTGCCTCCTTCCTGCACACCCCCTATTGGGGATGTGCCTGCAACCAAGGTACATGCCCTTGACTGGAATCAGTCCACAGGCCAATATTCTATCCACTGATCCAAACCAATTAAGTCAAATAATAGAACATTTTAATAAAACAATATTTTTTCTTGAACTTTAACTTACCAGACATTGAAACTGCACAAATTATTATTATTTTAAAATATATATTTTATTGATTTTTTAAAAGCCGAAAGATTTATGCGATCTGAAGAGAAACCAGAGCATATTTTATTGATTTTTTTACAGAGAGGAAGAGAGAGGGATAGAGTTAGAAACATCGATGAGAGAGAATCATCAATCAACTGCCTCTTGCACACCCCCTACTGGGGATGCGCCCGCAACCAAGGTACATGCCCTTGACCAGAATCAAACCCGGACCCTTCAGTCCACAGGCCAATGCTCTATCCACTGAGCCAAACCGGTTTCGGCAAAAACTGCACAAATTAATAAGTGTAACGCATATAAACCTATTTTTCTTCAAAAGCGAAATATTTCCTGTTGCACACACCAAATGAGTCAGTCCAAGACTAATAACGTGACAATTGGCTGCTAAAATATTTGCAGCATTAGTGGAGAGAAATGTGCACCTGCACTTAAGGATTGTAATGGAAATGAAGTCAACATGATTATGGTGGTCAGTCATTAGTGAACATTGTAGTTTCTTGTTAATAGTTATGTACTATATAATAATGTAAAACTTAAGTTATAAAATTTTTATTAAAACGTTTCTTTTTTTAATTTTATTATTATTATTTTTTAATATATTTTATTGATTTTTTACAGAGGAAGGGAGAGGAATAGAAAGTTAGAAACATCGATGATTGAGAAACATCTATCAGCTGCCTCCTGCACACCCCCCACTGGGGATGTGCCCGCAACCAAGGTACATGCCCTTGACTGGAATCGAACCTGGGACCTTTGAATCTGCAGGCCAACGTTCAATCCATTGAGCCAAACCAGTTAGGGCTCTTTTTTTTTTTTTTTTTTTTTTTAATAAATACATTTTATTTATTTTTTGCAGAGAGGAAGGGAGAGGGATAGAGAGTTAGAAACATCAATGAGAGAGAGACATCAATCAGCTGCCTCCTGCACATCTCCTACTGGGGATGTGCCCGCAACCAAGGTACATGCCCTGGGACCCCTCGGTCCACAGGCCAATGCTCTATCCACTGAGCAAAACCGGTTTTGGCAAAACGTTTTTTACATCTCATTATATTTGCTAGGCTGAAAAAATATTCGTTGTGGGCCTCGAGTTTGACATGCTTGATTTACAATGCCAAGAAATGGGAGACTTAAGCCCATCTTATTCTAACCCTAACATTTCCATGGGTTAAAGGGGTTAATAAGTCTCTACTCCTAGAGTTGCCTTTAGGAGTAAAAGAGAAATAATACCAGAAAAGCACTTAACATGATGCTTGGCAAGAATAAGAAATAAGTGTTTGTTTTGTTTTTATTGACTTTTTGGAGATAAAGATTTATTCAAGTATATCATAAAAAATGTGAGATCTTGGAAGTACCTTAGAATGGACTCGTGATTTCCTGTTAAGCATCTATTGCTGTTTAAATCAACTTTTTGTGTGTGTTTATGTCCAATTGTTAGAAACTCTTTAGTTACATTTTTCTGCCTTGCAGAACATTTTTTAGCCCTAGCTGTACTGAGCAAGACTGTATTTGGTTTGTTTCTTTGTTAACAGTCGGAGTAGGCAGAACCTTCTCACTTACTCTTCCGTAGGAAATGGGCTCGTGGTTCTCTGCAGCCCAGCTTTTGTTCAGCCTTTACCTTCCAGGCACTCAGGCATTTCCGTGCTGATTGGCACAGTGGCCAGCTATGTCTGTTTCTGACATGTTTACTTATTAAATATTAGATCCCCAAGACGTCATAGATCCACATCTCCTTCTCCTTCTCGACTGAAAGAAAGAAGAGATGAAGAAAAGAAAGAAACAAAGAGCAAAGAACGTCAGATAACTGGTAACGTTATTAGTTAAATAACTGTAGGAACAATGGTAAAACATGTACACATATAATACCTTAATTTAAAAAAATGGGAAAAAAAGAATAAATAGCTGTAGGAAGAGTGCAGCCTTATTTAGATAACTTCAGGCATGGTAACATTATAAAACTATAATTTTTGACCATTAAGATATATTGTAATATTCATTGCATATGGATTGAGTTTTGTTTTAATTGTACCTTTTGAGTTCCTGGTTATCTGTGGTGCTCCTGATATTGAAAGGACAATTAAAAATGTGAGCATCTTTTATTATGGAAGCACCTTCAAACAAGTGTCATGTCTGATATTAAAGGTGGTCCTGCCTAAAGCTTCAGTATGTCCTTTTAAGCAGTTTCCTCTGTTGGAAGGTGACAAGCACATTCCTTCCTTGTACCTCAAGTTACATTTTGCTTGCACAGTTCACCGTAGCTAAGATTGGCAACAGCCTAAGTGCCCATCAGCAGATGAGTGGATTAGAAACATATGGTACATCTACACAACAGAATGCCATGCTGCTGTAAAAAAGAAGAAATTCTTACCATTTGCAACAGCATGGGTGGAACTGGAAAGCATTATGCTAAGTGAAATAAGCCAGGCAGAGAAAGATAAATATCCCATGATCTTACTCGTTTGTGGAATATAATGAACAACATAAACTGATGAACAAAATTGAAACCAGAGTCATAGAACCATCAAACAGACTGTCCAACCTATGAAGGAAGGCAGAGGGTGAGAGGGTAAGAGGACTTATAATATATGCATGCATGTGAGCATAACCAGTGGACACAGACAGTAGGGAGATGAGGGCATGTCCTAGGGTTTGGGTTGGCCAGGGAGAGGACAGAGGGGGAAAAGGAGACTTATGTAATATTTTAAACAATAAAGAATTTTTTTAAAGTTACATTACAAGTTGAAGAGGAATTTTTTTCATTAGACTTAAGTCGTGTGTGTGTGTGTGTGTGTGTGTGTGTGTGTGTGTGTGTGTAACAATTTATTTCAGAGACGATGGGAGAAGGAGAGAAAGATAGACACATCAATAATGAAAAAGCATTGATCAGCTGCATCCTGCACACCCTCAGTGGGGTTTGAGCACAAAACCAGGCATGTGCCCTGACCAGGAATCAAACTATGATCTCCTAGGCCCGTGGTAGGCAAACTGCGGCTCACGAGCCACATTTGGCTCTTTGGCTCCTTGCGTGTGGCTCTTCCACAAAATACCACGGCCTGGGCAAGTCTATTTTAAAGAGGTGGCGTTAGAAGTTTAAGTTTAAAAAATTTGGCTCTCAAAAGAAATTTTAATCATTATACTGTTAATATTTGGCTCTGTTGACTAATGAGTTTGCCAACCACTGTCCTGGTTCATAGTTGACGCTCAACCACTAAGCCACACGTAAGTCTTTAGCTGATTATTTTGTATGTTTTTTGCTGGTAAGGTGGAGTGACTGTTAATCTAGTGCCATCTTGCTTTAATATATTTAAATAATAGAGTTTTTAAATTTTTCACTTATTTTTGCAGAGGAAGATTTAGAGGGAAAAACAGAAGAAGAAATAGAAATGATGAAGATAATGGGATTTGCCTCCTTTGACTCAACAAAAGTAAGTAAAACTTGAAGCCAGTTAAGCAGTTTGATTTGAATTATGACTGTCCCATTTTTTCATGTTTGTTTACTGTTGACTATGTAATTGCTTCCATTGATACAAGTTTATTCAATTAAAAGATAATAACTGGCTGTGTGAAGGGGTTTGAGGGTACAGAGAAGGAAGCAATGAGGTGCCATTGGAAACCAGGGAGTGTTCACCTGGGATGGTGTCCAGTTAGATCTTAAAGGGCCAGTACAAAGAAGAGGAAGATCAATTTAAGTACGAAGAAGTTCGTGAAAATGCCATGTAGACTGAAGTCGCATAGTGTATTGTGGGAATTTCAAATTCAGTGACTGTTTAAAAGGCTGATGGGCCAGTGACTACAATGAGGCTGGAAATAGAGGTAGGAAGCAAATCATAACGGACTTCTGCTGCCCTTTGCCATGCGAAGGAGTTAAAATTGTTTCTTTTTTTTTTTTTTAATGTATTTTTTATTATTGATAGTATTACAGGTATCTCCAATTTTCCCTCCTGTCCTCTCAAGAGATAATTCTTTAGGTGGTTGAGAGAAAGCAAAGATTTTTAAGAAAATGAATTGTAGGATTTATATGTGTTTTAGACAGATGGCCTAGGGCAGCCTTGGAGCACAGATGAGATGCATTTACCAGATGTACCGGTAAATAATGCAGATTCTTTTCAATAGATGGAGTTACACATATGTTAATATGTATGCTATTTTGTTGTATTAATATGCTTCAAAACTTTACATGTCAAATTTTCTAAAGGTGTTAACATCATAGATATTTTTACGCTTAAAATTGTTGAATTTTGTGCCCAAAAAAAGAGCATTTGCAGGAAGTTTTAATTCATTATTTTGAAGGAAAGTGCTGCTGAAAGTTATTGTGTATTTTGGGAAGCTTATGTTGAACATGCTCCATCTCCAGATACTTGTGAATGCTGGTTTAGATGCTTTAAAGGTGATTATTTCTATGTGAAAGACAACATCCAGGACAACCGAAAAAGTATGAAGACCAACAATTGCAAGCATTATTGTATGAAGATACGCATCAAACTTAAAAACAACTTGCAGAAAGATTAAATGTTGTTCAGCAAACAATTTCCGATTGTTTACAAGCAATAGGAAAGATTTTAAAGGAAAGAAAATGGATGCCACATCAACTGAACAAAAGACAAATGGAAAACCGAAAAGTCATCAGTGAAATGTTGCTTCAACGTCATGAAAGGAGGTCTTTTTATCATTGAATTGTGACTGGCAATGAAAAGTGGATTTATTTTGAGAATCCCAAACACACAGAATCGTGGATTGATTCAGGTCAACCATCAACATCGACTGCAAGACTAACTCGTTTCTGAAAGAAAACAATGCTCTGCATTTGGTGGGATCAGGAAGGTGTGGTGATTATGAGCTTCTAAAACCAGGTGAAACCATTAATACTGATCGCTACCTATAACAAATAATCAATTTGAACCATGTTTTGATTGTAAAACGGCCAGAATGGGCCAGAATATGTGGCAAAGTATTTTTGTTTCATGATGACACACCATCACACTCTTCAAAACCAGTTAAAAGATATTGCCCGGGAAGTATTGAACACCCCTTGCCATATTCACCAGACCTTGCTCCTTGTTCTTGATCGGAACAAGATTACCACTTGTTCCAATAGATAGCACATGCGCTTTCTTTTTTCTTTTTTTTCCTTTTTTTAATATATTGATTTTTTTTTACAGAGAGGAAGGGAGAGGGATAGAAAGTCAGAAACATTGATCAGCTGCCTCTTGCATACCCCCTACCAGGGTTGTGCATGCAACCAAGGTACATGCCCGTGACCGGAATTGAACCCGGGACCTTTGAGTCCGCAGGCCGATGCTCTATCCGCTGAGCCAAACCGGTTTCGGCAGCACATGCGCTTTCTGGGCAGCACTTTAAAACGTACAAAGAAGTGGAAAATTGGATCTCTGAATGGTTTGCCTCAAAATAAAAAAAGTTCTATTGGGATGGTTTATCCACAAATTACCTGAAAGATGGGGGAAATATGTAGCTAGCAATGGACAATTCTTTGAATAAAGCACTTTTCTTTATTTTGTTTCTTTTGAAATTACTGTGTTTTCTTTGATTACAAAATCCGCATTATTAACTGGTACACCTGGTAGATTGGAGGCAGGGAGAACTGAATCATGCAAGTGAAAGATGATGAAGGCATGAACTGAGAGGATCCAGAATATTGAGAACCATTCAGGTGGTAGTGGGAGTGAGCAGTCAGTGATGATTGAGGTGACAGGCTGAAAGACTGGGTGGTAGGGTTAACCAAGAAAGGATAATGGGAAGAGGAAGTGCTGTGAAACAGAAGAAAAGTCAGCTGCACATAAAGATGATATTGGGTAGCTGCACACATATCTCACAGCTCAGAGAGGTTGTGGTTTGGAGATTGAATAGTGTGTAACCATCATACTGGAAAGAAGAAGGGGAAGGGGAAGGAAAGATGGATTGTGGAGATGTAGGTGAAGTCAGAGGTTTAGATAGGGAGAGGGAAGAGAGTAGGAAAGAGGTAGGTGGAGAGGTAAAAAAAAATAGGGGAAAGGGAGTTGGAGGGGAATGTATGGGAGAAGAAGGACGGAGAGAGCTAGTAAGGACATACAAAGTTTGTGGAGAGAGAATGTTTTTTAAAAACTTAATTTTCTAGAATTTTAAGTCTTTTTAGTTTTGTAAATGGAATTTGAGATTTTTTTTGAGAAAATCCATTTCCCCTCATCTTGTATTCCATTGAGTTGTGAAAGGAGTGGGATAATTTCAGATGTTCTAAAAGTTTCTAACGGATGTGGTTGTATGGAGCTAAATATTCTTTTTCTTTCCACATACTCTTAAGATGACAATGTATAAACTAAGAGAACTGTTTAGAACTGAAAAAATTAAGAATGAGCTTTTCACAAATGGTTTGTGAACCCCATTTTGGAATTTAATGTGAATAAAAATATCTTCAAAGTAAAGCAACTGTATTTTTATTCTTTTTAGAAGAATATAGAGGTGACTTATTTTCTTTATTGAGGGTTAGAGGGTTATCCCCAGTATTCTTTGAAATTCATGAGAATCATATGTGAAGATTAAGTCTCACTTAGATTTTAAATATAGTCTGCTGAAGATGTTTGTTTCTAAAGGAAAAATTAGGTGAATATAAGTCCCATGAGAATTATGGAGTACCACCAGAATAAATAATATCAGTTGTTTTTTAATGACATCCTCAAGAGTGTTATTTTAGTTTGTATGTAGTTACTTCAGTTGTAGCTCACTTGTGCTGTTCAGTAATGTGCTTATTGTGATATCATATTGATCTATGATGAAACCTTTTCATATGCCATTGTAGCCCTTCCATTTTAACATTTTGGAAAAATTCAAAGTTTGGTTATGATTATTAATGGATAATTTTCTATTCCAGCATGTAAATGAAAATAGGACTTTTATATATAACTCAGCAAATAATTTTCAAAATTATTAAGCCTTTAGGAATTGAGCTTAGTAAAAAGGTTACTATCATTTTCTTTTTTCCAAGCCAATGTGTGCAAGTCATTCCTACCTACTGTTCTTGGGAGGTCAAAATTCTGCACACCTCAAGTAATTTTACCCATTGATCTTCCCTCCCCCATAATGTAGTGAAAATAGAAAAAATAAGATCAAGTATATTTATTTTAGCTCCACTTCAAATATGTATCTCATTTGTATATGACTTTAGGCCAGTGAGTAAGAATCCTTTTTTTGCCCTAACTCAAAACAGGTGGGGCACAATCCCATGAGTAATAATGAGGAAAGGTGGGGATTGAGGGTCGTGTGTGTGTGTGTGTGTGTGTGTGTGTGTGTGTGTGTGTGAGAGAGAGAGAGAGAGAGAGAGAGAGAGAGAGAGAGACAGAGAGAGACAGACAGACAGACAGACAAAGACAGAGAGCATACGCAAGTGAGTGCTAACCGATGGTGTTCATACATCTAACAATAATTTTCTGAACACCTGGAAGTGCAGTGGCCTAGGATGTGAGTATGCAAAGGTGACTCGGGCATACCCTCCCTCAAGAAGCTTGCAGTCTCATAGGGGAAATGACATCAAGTGTATACATCATGATAATGCAGGTTGGAACATGGAGGGTATCAATGCTGCTGGATCATTTGAATTGAGCCTTAAACAATGTATAAGCTCCCCATAATTGAAGATTGAATGGGAGGGATGGTAATTCAGGCATGAGGAACAGCAAGTGGTGAGTTAACTTGGCTGAATCAAAAGACCCATAAAGGAATTAATGAAAAAGAGGGTAGATGCCACATGAGAAAAGGCCAAGGTACAAGTGACACTCAACATTAGCATATGTTATTCTGTATTCTCATTTCTGATTTAAAAACCCAAATTGCAAGGCCTGTGTAAGAAATGGGATTTAGATGAATAGTGACTGATCCAGCCATAATTTGAAAAACGTGAATTTTTATAGAGAAAATACCCTTGACTTATATATGGTTTCAAATCATTCTTTGACCAAAAAAGGTTAGGATCTGCTACACTATTTCCCTTCCTGCCTTGCCCATAATACATAAACCAGGAATGTTTCTTGATTTGAATATTATATTATTTGCTTATGTGTGACTATAAAAAGGTGAACAGAAGTGTAATACTTGGGAGCTCATGAGATGTCATCAGGATCTGAAAATTCTTTTTCTCGTTGGCCTACCTCATTCTTAGATGCATCTTGCCATGTAAGTCTCTCTATAGGATGCAATTTTGATCAAGGCATTTAATGTATCCTTCCTGTTTTTATAATTTGTATATTGCTTTTCTCCAGGGGAAAAAGTTGGATGGTTCTGTAAATGCCTATGCCATAAATGTGTCTCAGAAGAGGAAGTACAGGTATGCATTACCCCGATTATTATGTTTAAACCAATTATATAAACTGTGTGCTTGGAAAAGAATTTATTATAGGATAATTATTTGTAGGAAATGTAGCAATCTTCCTTACAGTCCCTGTTTTAATCTTCCTTATATTCTGGTGTGTGAATTTCTGATTTACATGTGAACTAATTATTATAGAGAATGGTAGTTGACTTAAATCTTTTACAACTATATAGATCTTCAGAACATTTTTAAAGTCTTTTAACTTTATTTCATTATAATTATAGATTTAAAAAATAGATCACTCCTTAATTATTCACTTGGATTATGTAAGGATTTCAACTATAAATATATATCAAGTACACACATTTTATTAATAGCATGGGACAATTCATACTTGAAATCTTACTGAATACCTAATGAATTGAAAAGTCAAGAAGACATCTTCAAACATTGCTTTTCTCTCTACCTTTATCACTGATAAAAGATTAATACTCCAATTAATTTAGGAAATGAATAATGTGATTTGAGAATGCTGGTGAGTTAAGGAACCAGAATCACCATTGACATTCCTTTATAAAGTTACCTTAAAATAAGGTGTTATAGAAAAAACCAGTACCTGTTTTGAACTCTGCTCTAAATCCTTTAACCAGGTGTTTGGTGTTACCTAAAATAAATAAATTTATTGTTTTAAGTCTGTGGGATCTTTTCAAATAATTTTGAAAGTAGATTTCCATACTTCTATTTGGATTTTACAGAAATCTATAATGCTGTTGCTTATTTTGAAGGTGAAGTAATCTCTTCTTACTGTACTTTAAATAGTCTTAAATATTTCTTCTATATTTGACATCTTAAAGGTTATTTATAGGTACAATCTCTGAAGCTTGTGATTTTTTATAAAGAGAGAGAGGAAAGGGGGGAAAAGTGAAAGAAATTTAATTTGCTTTTTGTACTTGTTGCAATTAATACAATATTAGTCTTGTATATGCCCTGATTGGGGATAGAACTCACAACTTTGGTATATTGGGACGATGCTCTAAACAACTAAGCAACCTGACCAGGACCATGAATATTTTTTTTGCAAGAAGAGTCCAGAATTTTTTTTTTTAATGAACATTGAATTTTTTCTTCTTGTCATAGGCAGTACATGAATCGCAAAGGTGGATTCAACAGACCTTTGGATTTCATTGCGTGAGAGTTGAAATGTTGAAGAATGATTTTCCCCCCCCTCATCATGATTAGAAGAGTGGATTTTGTATTTTGTATTTCATATGCATCAAAACAGGCCAGGATCACAGCTCTTCCTCCTTGTAAAGTAAGAATATTTTATCTTTGATGTGTGCAGTTCACTTACCCTGCCTCAGAAGAAGAAATGTTAAATATCACATTTTTTTCTTTTAGGAAGTATCATTTGGGGCAATCATCAACCCCATTTTTTTGTCTTATTCCTGTGGAAGCTGTATATGTTTTCTTCTTGGATGCTCGTTAGGATTTTTTAAAACACATAAAAGTAATTTGGATGTGTCTCAAATAAAGCAATTATTTCTACCTCTCTGTATTTGCTAAATATTTTATTACTATATAAAATATCTCCCTGTACATTTTATTTTTTCATGCATAGATTTAGATATGATTCTTAGCAGTTAAAAATTTAAAAGAATGAAAAAGTATAACTGGATTTTTGTATCTTCTGAGGGTTTTTTCCTCAGTATCACTAATTTCTTTATCCCCTTTTTAAAAAGCAATACATGCTTATTATTTAAACAAACAAACAAACAAAAAATCCTTGGGAAAATGAAACAGTAAAAGAAAAGCCAGCCTACCCCCAGAAACGACGTTGTTAATATTTTGGCATATATCTCTCCAGGATCCTATGAGTGTATATTTCCTGTTCCCAACCATGAGATCAGAATGTAGTTCTCTTGCTAATTCTTTTTCACCTGTGAGCTGTGAATATCTTTTTAATATTCTTAAATATTCTTTCGAAACTTAGCTTTTCGGAGGTAGTTCTAATTGTACCATAATTTTTTATTAATCTTTACTTTTTTTTAAAAATAAATCTTTATTATTCAGATATTACAAATGTTCCTCTTTCCCCCCCACTCCATTGCTCCCCCTTTACCAGGTTCCCACCCCACCCTCTGCCCTTCCCCATCCCCCATTGTCCTCATCCATAGGTGCACAGTTTTTGTTCAGTCTCTTCCCGCACCCCCCACTCCCCTTTTCCCTGAGAATTGTCAGTTCATTCCCCTTCCATACCTCTGATTCTATTATATTTAACAGTTAACATATTGTTCATCGGATTTTTTAATTCCCTTGGTTTTTAGTTTCACTTGTTGATAGTTACGTATTTGTTGATCATAATTTTTATCTTTATCTTCCTAAAGAACCCTTTCAGCAATTCATATAATTCTGGTTTGGCGGTGATGAACTCCTTTAGCTTTTTTTTTTATTTGTGAAGCTCTTTATCTGGCCTTTGATTCTGAGTGATAGCTTTGCTGGGTATTTTTGGCTGTAGGTTCTTGCTATTCATCACCTTAAATATTTCTTGCCATTCCCTGCTTGGTTTCTGTTGAGAAATCAGCTGACAATCGTATGGGTGCTCCTTTATAGGTAACTACCTGCTTTTCTCTTGCTGCTTTTAATATTCTCTCTTTGTCTTTTGCTCTTGGAATTTTAATTATGATGTATCTTGGTGTGGTCCTTTTTGGATTCCTTTTGTTTGGGGTTCTGTGCGCTTCCTGGACTTGTAAGTCTATTTCTTTCACCAGGTGGGGAAAGTGTTCAGTCATTTCTTTAAATAGGTTTTCAGTGTCTTGCTCGCTCTCTCTCCTTCTGGCACCCCCATAATTCTAGTGTTGGTACGCTTGAAGTTGTCCTAGAGGCTCCTTACACTATCTTCATATTTTTGGATTCTTTTTACTTTTCCTGTTTGGTATTTTTTGCTTCTTTGTATTTCAAATCTTTGACTTGATTCTTGTGATCCTCTAGTCTGCTGTTGGACCTCTGTATATTATTTTTTTATTTCAGTCAGTGTATGCTTAATTTTTGTTGGTCCTTTTTCATATCCTCAAGGGTCTCGCTAAATTTATCAGCCTTTTCTAGAAAAATTTTAGAAAAACCTTATAACCGTGGTTTTGAACTCTATATCCATTCGTTTGCTTTCCTCCATTTCTTTCATTTGTGACCTATTTCTTTGTCTCTGCATTTTGGCTGCTTCCCTGAGTTGATAGAGTGGCTTTGTGTATTAGGTGTCTTATAGGGCCCAGTGGGTCAGCTTCCCAGTTACCTGAGGTGGACATTCCTGGTGCACCCCTTTGTGGGCTGTGTGTACAGTCTTGTTGTAGTTAAGCCTTGATAATTGTTGGTATCACTGGAAGGAATTGACCTCCAGGTCAATTGGCTGTGAGGATCAGTTTTGTCTATGCTGGAAGAACTTCTGTGCTGGAGACACCTTTATGAGACTTGCTTCAAAGGGGCTTTAGTGCTTACTGAGTCTGCCCCCTGAGTGTGTCCCTCATGGGATCTGAGGAGTTATAATCTGGATGGTCCCACTCTGACCCCTGTGTACACTGGCTCTTGGATCTCCAAGGAGGTGCTAATTTAGCCTCTGCCTGAGTCCACCCAGCAGGAGCTACAGAGAGATCTGCAGATTCCTCTTCTTTGTTTGGGTTTTGGAGGTGCCCAGATGAGGCCCATCTGTGAAGCAATGCAAGCTGCTGTGGAGCCTGTGAAGCAATGCAAGCTGCTATGGGGCCTTGGGCCTTCTTTTGGATGTTCTGGGTCTCACTGACTCGGCTGCAGTTTGTTAGGTAAGTTTAGAATTCAAAGGACCATGCCATTCATATGCAAAAACCTCTGTGCTCAGCTTGGATGGGGCAGAGTCTCTGGATGGAGCAGATAGCAATGGCTTCCTGTCATCTCTGCCCTAAGAGGCCCCTGGGTCTTAGTGTCCCACGGTAATCACTGCAAGCACCTCTGAGAGGAAGCCGCCCTCAAGTTTTGCCTGCTGCCACAGTCCAGTTTTTCCCTGTATGAGTTTGAATCCCCAGAGTCTTGCCCAGAACTGGAATTCAGAGCAGTCAGGAGCTCTTGTCTCCTTCCCAGTTGAGAAAGCCAGCCACGTACTCAGATGCCAGCCCACTCCACACACGTGCGCCTCCGTACCTGTGCCCTCTGCAGCTCCTGTGAGTCTGCTTTTCTCTTCCCTTCTAGCTGTAGAATTTCCACTCAGCCAGCCTTCCTGTGGTTTTGGATGATGTCTGTTTTGTCTTTTAGTTGTAGTTTTGAAATTGTGCAAGGCAGCAGTTTAGGTGTTTGTTTACCTATGCCACCATCTTGGTTTTCCTGACCTTGTAATCACATTTTTATTTATAGTTTATCAATTGAGGGGCATTTTGGCTATTATGAATAGTGCTGCTTTGAACATTCTTATACAGGTTTTTCTATGAATATGTTTTTATTTTTTTTATTTTTATTTTTTTAAGGCTAACTATTTATTTATTTATTTATTTATTAATATTTTATTGATTTTGTACAGAGAGGAAGGGAGAGAGATAGAGAGTTAGAAACATCGATGTGAGAGAGTCATCGATCGGCTGCCTCTTGCACACCCCCTACATGCCCTTGACCGGAATCAAACCCGGGACCTTTCAGTCCCCAAGCCGACGCTCTATCCATTGAGCCAAACCAGCCTCGGCTATGAATATGTTTTTAATCTCTTGGGTGTATAACTAGAAGTAGAGTGGCAGTGGGTCACATAATAATTCTGTTTAAGTTTTTGAAATATTGTCAAATTGTTTTTCCCAAACAGCTGTACTCTCTTATATTCCCACCAGCAATATATGAGGGTCCAGTTTTCTACATACTTTGCAAACTTTCCTTTTCCTTATAGCTTCTCACTGCCTAACACACTCTACATTCATTTGTTACTTTGTGGGTCTTCCTCTAGACCACATGTGTCAAACACAAGGCCCGCGGGCCAAATCCGTCCCGCCAGGCCTTGCAATGTGGCCCGCACCGCGCTGTCATCACTGCACTCCGCTGCGTTTCCATCACAATGACAGTTTGACTGTTCAGTAAACCATTCGGCCCGCGATTTAGGCTGGATTTTAGATTTTGGCCCTTTCTCTGATTGAGTTCGACACCCCTACGTCTAGACAAAAAGAAATGGGGCCCATGGCTTGTTTGCCACTGTAGGCCCAGCACCACTCAGTGCCTGCACAGAGCAAAGCAATCAGTAAATCTCTGTTGAATTTGTAGATATAGTTCAGTGACCTTTTTTCACTTCACCACTTCCCTTCATTTTTATGTTAACCTTTACTTACCCAAGTAATAAATAAGGAATAGATAAATTTCCCTGTAAACATTTTAAAACATTATGACAAAGCTAAATCCCATTTGCACAGAACCCCTCAATGCTAGGCCTATTGCACTTTCTTTGCACTGTATCTTTCGAGACCTTTGTCTATGCATACATGTAAGTAACAGAGTTAGAGGTGGAAATGAGGAATATACATTGTTTGGGATTTTAAAAATACAGATAATATTTTGTAGGGATCATTTTACAACTAATTATTTAATACTGCCTTGAAAATGTTTCTATGCCAGCTTATGTACCTCTACTTCCCCTTTTTTTAAAGCTGCTACATAGTGTTGTGTGTGCACTGTATATATCACTTGGTCAGCCATTGATTTGTTTTTAAAATATTTGTCGAAGAGCTAATTTTTGCAAAGCAGTGTTCTTAAAGGTTTTAAAACAAACTCATGATATTAGATGTCATGGCATTGAGGTGTCCAAAGTAATCATAAAGATGAGGATTAATATTACTGAAGTAGGAAATTCCAGTCCTGATTTTTACACTTCATAGAAAAAATCAGTTCCTCCAACATTTATTTACAAAATTTTATTTTATTGTCAGGTTAGGGAGTGTCAAACTCAGTTATAAATAAGGTGTTTTACTTCATTTTGGAACTTTTTAGACATTTAAGATTATAATACACCAGTTGTCTTTTCCCTGCCACTCTGAGGTACTCACTGAAGAATTATCTCTCAGAACTCCCATAGCATTTAATAAACCTGCTGCTTATTCAGCATTTACGTACTGTCCTATGCCCACCTGGGTATGTAAGCCCTTCCAAGTCAGGAGACTGAGTCTTAGCTTTCTAAGAGATGCAGTAAAGCCTTAGCCAGTTTGGCTCAGTGGATAGAGCATCAGCCTGCATACTGAAGGGTCCTAGGTTCGATTCTGGCCAAGGGCATATACCTGGGTTGCAGGCTCGATCCCCAGTAGGGGGCATGCAGGAGGCAGCAGATCAACGATTCTCATCATTGATGTTTCTGTCTCCCTTCCTCTCTGAAATCAATAAAGAAATATATTTTAAAATAATCCTACATAAATAAAAGCTGCAGTAAAGATTATATGACAGGTAACATAGCTATGTCTTTGTGCTTTCCCATTTTCAACATTTCTTTTTTACTTCCCAAACCTATTAGTTGATCTGAATGTCTACTCTAAGATATATAAACTATTGTCATGCCATATTTA